GTTGCTCTCCAAAAGTCTTTTTGGATTCTATGAGTTTATGTTTGAGTGTCGAATAACATGGCACAGAACAATTTACGCACACGTACCACATGACAGTTGGACGAATTTGGATATGTAAAAATGTGAATGGGAAAAATAATTAAATTACAAATATAAGTTTCAAGTGTAAATTTACACCAGATATTATTTAACTCAGAAGGGAATGTTAGGGTTTTTACAATAAATACCCACTCCCCACTCAAAATACATTCAAAGTTTTGAGTGAAAATAATTTATTCTTGAAGATTTTCTACGTCATTTCACTTTAATTGATTGTACCCACATACGATTATGATGTGGGAATACAAGGGCAGCATGAGTTCATTCTATTCGTTCGTCCGTTTTCGAGTGGCACTGAACATCAATTAATTAATTAATGAATAGTGCATATCCCCAAATACAAGCCAATACAAAAACTCAAAGATGTGGGTTTAATGTTGGCGTTTTATTTGTTTTTCTACTGCCATTGTCGTCTTCGTTCTGCCTTTTTTTTTGTCTTTAACAAATACAATCCAGCTCAAAGTGACTCATTATTTATGTTCAGCATTTTAGTTTTCATCTTCTTCGTGCATTGAAAATTGAGTGGAAAGTACTCGAATCCAGATTTTATTAGGGAAGGTATCAACACCAATGGATCAACGTAGAACATACACGATATTAGTTCCTTGGTGTTAGTTTGTTAAAAATATACAAATGTAATGAAATGTATGCTTTTTATACCCTCAGCAGAGAGGGTATATATCATTTGATACGGCCAAAACGTGCCTCATCGAAATGACGGTAGTATCCGATTTGGTCCAAACTTGGTACATCGTAATATTATTATCAAACTTAGATCAAGTTCGGAGATGGGCAATATCGGTACCTCCCCCATAAAGGTCGAAATTTTCAAAAAAAAAAAAAAAACTATTTTACTGCACAGAAGGAGAAACGATAATCCGATTTTGATCCAACTTTGAAAATCCTAATAATTCCATCAGTGCTAGGTCAGGTGCGAAAATTAACAACATCGGTCCACTCCATCAAGTAACCCCCCCCCCCACACACATACGGTGAAAATTTTGAATAATTATAACTCTTGTAAAGTGTGATGTAAGAGTCCAATTGTCTTCAAACTTCACACATCCCAACATTTTTATTAATCCAAGGTCGGTGTTAAGGTGGAATATGTCGGTCCACTCCTTCTGGTACCTCACACAAATAAGGTTGAAATTTTCAACAATATATTTTCTGCACAGAAAGAGAAACGATAATCCGATTTTGCTACAACTTTGAAAATCCTAATATGTAAGAGTCCGATTGTCTTCATATTTCATATATTCCAATAGTTTTATTAACCCTATTGTTAAAATGGAATATGCCGGTCCACTCCTTCTGGTACCTCCTCCACAAAAGGTCGAAATTTTGAATATACATGAAGCTCATAAAACGCAAAAATGTACATCCGAGTAGATTTAGACTTGACATATCTAAACATTTCTTTTTTATTTTAATACGGGATCTGTTATAAAAACGGTAGAGATCGAACCATTCCTTCTGGTACCTCCCCACAAAGAGTCAAAGTTCTGAATAACCAAACCGAAATAAGCATCCAACTCCCTTCAAATTTCACACATGCAAACATTTTTGAAGATGATATATATCTGCAAACCCCTTCTGATACCTCACCCACAAAGGGTCACAATTTTCAATACTTTTATCTTTCGTAATTCTTTATTTTTATATCGTATATATTAAGGACCAATACGAAATGGACAATATTGGTCCATTCCTTCGGAACCTACTCCATAGAGGGTCAACAATTTAAATAATCATAACAGAAGTCAAAATATACTCAAATAGTCGAACATTGGGGTGACCTCATGTATACGAAAAGTACTAAACTGTACTAAATTTAGTACAATTTGAATTTGGAGGAACGGATGGAGCTGGAATCCTGAATCCTGAAATTACACATTACTGGCGGAGAGTAGGATTAGGATATGGAGGAAGTTTTCGAAATGTGTACTTATTTGCACGGAAACTACTAAATGGTGCTAAATTGGGTACAATTGCGATTTGGCGGAATCGATGGAGCTTAAATTCTGAAATTTATTAATAAGATTGCTATTGCATTCTAGGACTGAGGAATGTAGGTAGTTTTGGAAATACGTACTTATTTGTACTAAGTGGTACTAAATTTGTTACAATTTAAATTTTCTATGAATCGCTAGAGTTCAGATTTTACTTATGTGTACTAAATGGTACTAAATTTGTTACAATTTGCATTTGGGCGAACCAAGAGTAGTGGAATTCCAAAAAAGTAGGAATAGGGTATGTAGGAAGATTTGTAAATTCGTACTTATGTGTACTATGTGGTACTAAATTTGGTACAAATTGGACTTGTGATAAACCGATGGAGCTGGAATGCTGACATTTGGAATGAGGGCCGCTGATGGAGTGCAGGATAGATGCTTCAAAGGGTTATTGGAAATTTGGACTTTAAATTTATGAAATGTTCTCGAAACTTAATAAACCTCTAAAATGCTATAATTTGGTATTATGTGAACGGATAGAGCTAATAACTTGACAGTTCGATATATGAAGATGGTTTTTGAAATGTGTAGCAAGTGTGAGAACTGTACTAAATGGGACTAAATTTGAAACAGTTTGGTATAGGGTGAGCGGATGAAGGTGGAATTGAGAAAATTTTTATTGTGGTCCCTGTTTCGTAATAATAGATGGTTTTAGATATGTGTACTACGATATGTGCACGAAAAGTACTAAATAGTACAACGTTTGGTACAAGTTGGCTTTGGGTGAACAGATAGTGCTTGAAATCTGAAATATGACATTTGGACATGTGGAAGTGATTTCGGAAATGTGTACTTCAACTGCACGAAAAGTGCTGAATTTTACTACATTTGGTATTGGGCTGATATTGGGTGAAGGGATAGACTGGAATACTAAAATTATATATTGACATCTCTTTTTGTATCCGGGATTGAAATATGGAGTGTGGACTATAATTGTACGAAAAAACTTAATTTGGTATTGGGTGAAGGAATAGAACTGAAATTCTGAAATTTGATATAGATGCCACTGTTGGGGTCTGTAGTTGGGAAAAGTAGGTGATTTTGGAAATGTGTACCATAAACGTTTGAAAAGTGCAAAATGACATAAAATGTGCCGTTGGGTTTTGGGATCGGGATGGAATTCAGAAATTTGGTATCGAAGTCACTCTTGGTGTCTAGGTTAAAGAGAATGACGCTGTTTTGGACATGAGTAGTATAACTGTAAGAAAAGTATGGTAATAATTTTGGGATTTAGTCTTAAGATAAAGCTAGAATTCTCAAATTTAATATTGAGGACTTGGTTTGTATCTGGTGTTGAGATCTGGTAGTTTTTTTTGAAATTGCGTACTATATTTTTGTATTTTTATGTGCAAAATTCCCGAAGACACTACATGGTGAGATGAAAAAACTGCAACCAATTTCAGACTGCTGTTATTTCTAAGCCACTCGTCCGACAGCTGTTAAAATTATTCCAGTGATAGCTCATTATATTGTTTACCAGTGTATAAAAGAATTTTGGTAAGAATTTTCCAGAAAAAAAGTTATTCGTGATGGAATTCAAGCGTGATAGTGTTATTTCTTTATATTTGGCTGGAAAACCACAAGTGGCTATCATTTGAGAACTCCAGCATTTAAATGTAAATAAATCTTTTGTGTCTCGTACCATCGCTCGTTACCGTGATACTGGTAGCGTAGGCCGATGTCAAGGAAGTTGACGGAAGAAAACAGCAACATCAGCAGAAATGGTTCGAAAAGTAAAGAAGCGACTTGATCGGAACCCACGTCGCAGTGGCCGAAAAATGGCTTGTGAGCTGATATATATCGCAATATTCCATTCGGCAAATATTGAAAAATGAGCTCGAGCCATTGAAAGCCATTGAAATTCCAAAAAGTGCAAGAACTTACACCGCAACTGAAAGAAAATAGACTCAAAGGAGCTAAATAGTTGCCTCGCTTGGCCGAAAGTGGTAAACTGCCGATTTTGGTTTTCTCCGATGGCAAGGAGTTTGTAAACAAACAAAATGGTCGTGTTTACTTAAGAGGTCAGCTGAAAATGTGCACCTTCGGATGGCCACCAGAACTCAAGAGTGGAACTCAAGGCCATGGTGATGGTGTGGGTCGCCATAACAACCGATGGTCGCTCTCCGCTCGTATTAATCGACCGTGGCATCAGAATAAATGCCGAATATTATCGCGAAAATATTCTGGAGGGTGTATAAAAGCCTTGGGCACATAATACATTTTGGCCGCAAACCTTGGACATTCCAACAGGACTCAGCACGCGCCACCCAAGAATGGTTACAAAATGAGGTTCCTCGCTTCATTTCCAGCGCACAATGGCCACAAAAATCTTCGGATACCAATCCGTTGGACTATTGTGTCTGGAGTATTTTAGAAAGCAAGGTTGACACTAAAAAATACCAAAGTGTCGAACACCTCAAGCAAGCGCTTCGCCGGGAATGGGTCAAAATACCGCAGAACAACATTCGAGAAGCGTGTGATTGTTTCTTTGGCCGTTTGAAGGCCATAATTCGTGCCAAAGGTGACCAATTAATGCTATTTCCGAAATTTTTGGTTTTCATTTAATAAAATAAAAAAAAAATTATGGCGTTTGACTTTGTTGCAGTTTTTTTATCTCTCACTGTACATAAAGTGTACGAATTCCGAGAAATTTTCATCTGTAAATTTTCAAAACCTCCATTTTGGTTACTTTGCGATGAAAAATTTCAAAACTCCGATACACGTGTCTTCTTTTTTTAACTCTCCTTTTATAATCTGCTGGATTCTCTCCGTAATTATTGAAAACAAATTAAATTTTATAAATACTACAACTTTCAGATATTTTATAATATATTCCAAATTGTATACCAATTGTTATCTGTAATATATTAAAAATTAAAATCGAACTTAAAAATTCAACATTTTTTCTTTAATATAACAATTCATAACTAGCCCCTAAAGGTAAAAAAAACTACAACCAAATTATTTCGAGCTTTAAATAAAAACTAATAAAAGGAAACATATTTAACATTCGAGATTGTAATTTGCATCTAGAGTTTGCCTTGTTGCAACATCAAATTGATTTTCTCGTATATCCAATCGATGTATTTCTCGACACGAACATAGACACCCGGATGATTGGCATAGCCGCAATGTTGACCCCAAGAAATTATGCCATACAAAGTTTCACCACCTGTGGGAAGAGAATAATAAACATAAAAATTGTAACATAAACTTATTTCGAAAGTTGTCCCAATTCCAAGAAAGTTGAGTTTGTTTTTGGGGAGAGAAGGTCGAAGAGAATGTGACATCAACCTCAATCAAATGCCTTTTTTCGTTGGATACTTAAATCAACTTCTGTCATTGTAGGACTAAAATTCTAATTCTGTCAGTGGTTTGTGGTTTTTATTTTTGTATTCAATATTTTGTATTCAATTCTCTATTTTGAAATCATGAATTTGAGGTCAACTTTTAATTTTCATACGTACCTAATAGTATGCAACAATTAACTGATTTTTAGTTTTGGTGTTTTTATCTCCCTCTCTCTCTCCCTCCCTCCCTCTCTCACTCTCTCTCTCTCTCTCTCTCTAACTCTAAGATTTTTTTGATTTTTTTCCAGAGGCTGCCTTTTGTACCCTGATTCCGGGAAAGTATTTGTTTCTTGGGGGACGGACCCAGATGATTGAACCGAAAATCCGGCTCCAAGTCCGGGTTAAACCCAGATCCACAAAACTTATTATAAATATAGATATCATTTGAAAACTAATAAAATACCTATCTAACAAGTGGTCATATGGTCATGGGGTTATTGGAACGGTTCGAGACTTAAATTATAGATTTTTTGGAGTCGGATTTTTAAAAAAAAATCTACAAAATGCCCCATTTTCGGAGTCCACGAAATATTTGCCATTATTATGGTTTACAATATAACCTTTCCAAAATGCTACAATTATTATCTTTCCTAAATCCCGAGATATGGAACTTTGTATCCAGTCGTCCTGATTCTGTTCAGTACATTGAAATTATATTTTCTATATGAAAAAATACTTGCTTAGCCGGTGTTGGACATACACGGAGGAGAAAATCGCAAGCCCCGGCCAAAGGCCTTCTATTTAAAAAAAATATCGAATTTAGAAAAACCTTGCTTCGGGTTGCCGATGATTTAAGCCCCGACCGAAGACCGTCTATTTCACGAAGCCTGTGTTGGACATAGCTGGAGGAGAAAATCTCAAACCCCGGCCGACGGCCGGCTACCTAAAAGAAGTAAAAAATATAAAAATCTTCGTTCGCGTAGCCGGTGTTGGTCATATATATTTTATAAAATATACATACCCAAAATAGAAAATCTCCAGACCGATCGAAGGCCGGCTGCTTAAAAAAATATTAAATTTAGAAAAACTTTACTTCGGGTAGCGGGTGTAGGACATAATCAGAGGAAAAAATCTCGAGACCCGGCCTAAGGCCGACTACTTAAAAAACATTAAATTCAGAAAAACTTTAGTTCCCATAGCCGGTGCAGAAAAATTTCGATTCGCATAGCCGCCCAGAGGAGAAAATCTCAAGTTTCGGCCGAAGTCCGGGATCTTAAAAAAATATTAAATTTAGAAAAGTCTTTATTCGATGTTGAGAACATAATCTGGTTGTTCGGGTTCAAAGACACATATCCCTGGATCCAAGAGAGATAAAAGCACATATTGTAGCATTTCGGAAAGTTTAGAGTATTAGCTATATATTTGGTTTATACTTTATGGAACTCCAAAAAAGGCCTTTATTCGACTTTTTGGGAGTTATATAAAAAATTCGGGTCCAAAAAATCGATAGTCTAGCTATAACTTCTGAATCGTTTTAAATAACTCCACCATGTGACCACTTTTTGGATAGACGTTCAAATGATACCTATATTGTCCATATCGGTTCAGTAGGTCCGGGTCTTGAACCTGGACTTTTAGATCAAATATACGCGGTTCCGGATCTGTCCCGCAAGAAAAAATACTTTCACGGAATCAGGGAAATAAATACCTTTCTCTGGACCAATTTCCAAAAAATCCGAGAGTTGTTCCCTTCAATCCCACAAAAATTACTTTTCTTTTACGTAAATGTTCACCATCACATCAAAGCCTTAACTTACCCTCATCCGAACACACCAAAGGACCACCGGAATCACCATCGCAGGCATCCACATTCTCATCGAGATAACCGGCACAGAACATACCCTCACTCATGGCATTGCCATATACATTTTTGCGGTGGCACACATCTTCTGCCAAAATGGGAACCTCAGCTGCCCGCAGGATGTTGGATGGAGCTTTGGAAGAAAATAGGTTATATATTTTATTTAATGATACCTCATAATACTCACTTGATGTTCCCGACTTAATGGAACCCCAACCCGATATTGTGCACATGCGATTGGCCTGCAATTGAGAACCCTTTTCGGGCAGACAAATAGGCTGGACATAGTCATTAAAACGCAACGAGTTTTTGAGCAAAATCAAAGCAATATCATTGTTCATGTGCTTCTCTTCGCGGAATCGTTCGTGGATGTACCAGTTTTCAATGTTCGAATCGACCTCAGATGCCTCGGCAATATTGGCATAATGATCGCCCACACGAACGAAATACGAACCCTTGGGATAACCGGCCAAACAATGGGCCGCTGTTAAAATGAGTTTCTTCGAAATGATAACAGCTCCACACCAGTGGCTGGAGATACCACCCCGACCACGTGTACGTATGGTTGCCTGCCAGGGGTGACGTCCTCGTTTGGCAATGCTGCCATTTATGACACGCTCCTCCGGATGGGCATACTCATCGACCAAGTTCTTCTTGAAATGGCCACATTGTTTTGGCTGGTGTACCGCCTTGCTGGATCTTTGCCACAGACCTTGATATTTGCCCAAATCATCCAACTCCGATAGCTCATATTCGGAATCTTTATTTGATATCCTGGTGGCGGGAGTAGTGGTCACCACAGGCCGTAAAATTGTGGGCTTGGGACCAGCCGTACATTTGATGCCCACATCTTCGGTGTGCTGGCAATTATTCTCACCCCAAGTCCAGTGGTTGCATTTGTCCAGAGTTGTTTCATTTCCCAAACAGGAGACTTGATCCAGCCAAATGGGTCCACTACCTGGTCCATAGATATTCTTGGCTACTTGCTGTGGGGACATTCCAAAAAATAAAAATACATTTTTTTAAACACTAAAATGATGTCGGGAATACCCACCGCCTTGTCATAGTAACCCAAAGAGTTACACACAACCTGAGCTTCCTTCTGGCTGAAATCATCATCACACACCGTACCCCATTCGCCGCGATAGAAAATCTCCAAACGTCCTTCATTTTTGGACCGGCCACCCTCCAAACGATATTCAATGGGGGCCTGAAATACAAAAATCTTCAAACCCCTTCCTATGCAAATATTTTACGTCACATACATTACAAATTTGTGGACTCTCGTCGGAACCATCCGAACAATCCGGTGTAACATCGCACAAAAATGCCGTCGGTATACACTCTTCCGATTTGGTACACAGCCAATAGTTATCCGGGCACTTCAGCTGTTGGACCTTGCAAACAACGCCAACAACTTCGTCCGGACCACAATTGTTAACACCCCACCCCTTGAAATCGCATTCACGCAGAGAAGTTTCATTACCCTTGCACTCCACCTCATCCATGTTGAAGACAGCATTGGTGTCTGCGGGCGGGTAATAGGAACTTCCACGTACCTCCATGGCCCCCATCTTGAAACCCAGTTCACGACACACAACATCGGCATCCTTGAGACCAAATTTATCGTCACACACATAACCCCATTTTCCCAGGACTGACAAAGAAGTTCGAAATTTAAAACAGCCAATCAAAATTCAAATATTATTTTAAGGAACTTACTTTTCACTTCGACGCGACCCTTATTGGAACTTTCACCACCTGTCAAACGCACCTCATAGCCCAAATGATCGCACTGCTCTTCGTCTTTACGATTGCCACAATTGTTAACGCCATTGCAGACCTGAAAGAAATATGAAATTAGAATTTAAAATTGGATAAAGGAAGCGATAAAACTAATGCACAAGTAAGGCTAAAATGGTGAAAAATGTACTGATATCCCTTGTAGTTTCGAAGCTATTGACACCTAAGGCCGTCTACTTACAAAATGTATCAACTTAAGAGAAAACGAAATTTCGGATCAAATAACCGGGTAAACGGGCATTTCCCCCACGAAAAAATACCTACCTGTCATTAAACTGAACTTAAGTCTTGTTTTCGGTGATGCAAAATATCGAATTTCCTTAGAATGCATCATCTGGAAGTAGAACATACAAATTAAGAGCCAGTAAAACAGCTAATTTCGGCAAGGCCAATCTTTTAATACCCGCCGCCATTTGGGAGGAACTTAAAAAAATCCGTTTAAAAAATGTCTCTAAAGTTGTCAAGATACCAAATACCGGATAAACGAAAGCTCGGGTCTGTATTGCCAATTATCTGCCAGAGAAGGCTTATTGAGACAAAAATTTGACATAAATCACCCAAATACCGAATATCCTTAGATAAAGTAATATGAGGGTTATACGAAAATTAGGGCCCATATAGATAGTTTTCTATCAGAGTATACATAAAAACCAAAGCCATCACCAAGTATCATCTTTAAGATAATTCCATTGAAAAAGTATCTGAAGGTACTATTATGTGCTGGCTATACGAAGCCATAGACATTTATAGGCAATTTTCTGTCATAGGGAGTAGTACCCATTACGAACTCTGTTGTAAATGGTCAGTTCTTTTCAAGAATGTCATTTTACAGCAAATTCTGACTAAAACGTCCAAAAACTTTAAATCTGACATTCTTTAAGAACTGGGTGATCGAAATTCGTGTAACTTTTTAAAAATATTTTTCAAATTGTAGATTTTTTCCATTTTCTAAGGATCTCCTAACTGGAAATCGTATTTTTATACCCTCAGCCACATGACTATAGAGATATAACCTCATTTGATAAGGTCAAAACGTGCCTCCTCGAAAAACGGTTTTACACCCTAGGTCTCCGTGGACCAAATCCGTTTAAGGACTTTTGGAGCCGATCTAGGGGTATCCCTTCCTCCGTCTTTCTGGCTGGCTAGTGCACACGATAATTCTCGAAGTTAATATCTGATTTGATCCAAACCTGGTATATCGTAATATTATTATCAAACTTGGACCGACTTCGTTCCAATATTGGACCACTCCTTTTACACCACCCCCACCATGGTCAAGATTTTGATGGAAAATAATTTTCCTATTGGAATGCATCATCTGGAAGTAGAACATACAAATTAAGAGCCAGTAAAACAGCTAATTTCGGCAAGGCCAATCTTTTAATACCCGCCGCCATTTGGGAGGAACTTAAAAAAATCCGTTTAAAAAATGTCTCTAAAGTTGTCAAGATACCAAATACCGGATAAACGAAAGCTCGGGTCTGTATTGCCAATTATCTGCCAGAGAAGGCTTATTGAGACAAAAATTTGCTGCTATTTGTAGTTTAAAGTGGAACACGTTTGAATTCAGATACTTTTATAAAAAAAATTGTTTTCTTTACCCAATTGTGGAGGGTATTAAAAGATCGGCCCGGCCGAACTTAATATTTTTATACCCTCCACCATAGTATAGAGGGTACATTAAGTTTGTCATTCCGTTTGTAACACCCCGAAATATACATTTTAGACCCCACAACGTATATAGATTTAGTGATGTCCGTCCGTCCTTCCGAAAGAATTGAAGTAGATTGATAAAATTTTACTCAAATGTATATTATGTCTGCAGGACTTTTGGTATTGAAAATGGGTCATGTAGGTCCACGTTTTGGTCCACGTACCTCCCGATATTCGGTATTTTGATGATTTTTGCGACAATATTCATCGGAATTATTTCAAATTTGGTATTTGAAGTTTGAAATGAATACTACAACCTATGACAGAAAATTGTGTGTGCAGGTTCACGTCTTCGTATAGCCCCCATATAATTGTACCTCCCGATAATCGGTACTTTGTTGATTTTAGCGACAATATTCACCGGAATTCTTTCAAATTTGGTATTTGATGTTCGTAGTGGATACTACAGCCTATGACAGAAAATTGTTTGTGCAGGTTCAGGTCTTCGTATAACCCCCATATAATGGTACCTCCCGATAGTATTTTATTTTAATGATTTTAGCTACATTATTCACCGATTTTTTTTAAGTTTCGCATTTGAATATTGTAATGGCTTATGACAAAAGTTACCTATGCAGGTCTATGTCGTCGTATAGACCCTAATGTAACAACTACATTCGGTATTTTTAAGATTTTAACAGAATTGTTAACGGATTTTATTGGTTTTGAGAACTGCAAAATTCGTTCCAAATGGTTCGGCCCGGCCGAACATACAGCTTTTTTACTTGTTTTACTTGTTTTTTTTTTACAAATTGTTAGAATTTCCTAACCAAAAATCTAGGAGTTCAAGAAAACTCGCTAGAGAATATTTCAAATTTATTCAGATGTCCGGCTACCGGCTATCATATCCATATCTTAGCTTACCTCATGTTGGGCCACACATTTGCCATTTCCACAACTGAACGGACAGCTGTTGTCATTAATTCGCACATCAATGCCCGAGGATTCGAGGGGAGCATCGAAAGGATTCGGTAAATTGGGATGTTTTTCATGGAAATCACGTGAATGCTGATGATGATGTTTCGAGGAACTGGGTGTATGCTGATGATGTTTATGCCAATTGGTTGTTGTTGTTGTTGCTGATTGGTCATGATCATGGGGGAAATGGATAGAATGTTGAGATTCTACGGTGGTGTGTTGGAAATCGTAAACGGTACCCGATTTATGGGCACCAGGTTGGACAGACGTTGTGGTAACTAAACTATGCTGTTCACCTGCAAGTATAAGTTCAACATCGTCTTGAGGGGTTGTTGTGAGGGGGGATGAAGGTGTACTACTACTAACGCTAAGGGCATGCAATGGATTGTGAGTGCTCGAGGTGGGGATGGTTGTCGTTTCTTCGGGATGCCTATCAATGGGGGCGACTAAATTCATAATATGCGATTCCGCTTTGGCAGCTAGCTTTTCATCTACCAGATAGGGTTTTAGCATTAGTTGCAATGCCTCCTTGAGGGGTAATTGCTCGGGTTTGAGGTCAGAAAACTCTTCATCGTGCTCTGAATTGAGTTTCTTGGAAACCTCTAAACGATTCGTGGGCTTAATTGCCGATTGTTGGGGAACTTTGCGACCTGTCGTCCAAGTGGCATTGTGGGAATGTGCCACCTCGGCATAGGGTGGGCTGTAATGGGGTTGATGGGGAAAAGTTTGTATGGTGGCATTGAACAACTTGGGATAACCCTGGATCAGAGGAATGGGAGTGGTGCTTTTGGTAGGTGAGGGAATTTGTGGTTTTGGGTCAGAATTGGGTGCCGGGGTTCGAGGGGTACTACTCTGTGGTGGGTTGAAGTTTGGAGGCTGCAAACCTCCATAGAGATTTGTTTCATGAACCGTTACAACTTTGCGGGACCCCGAAGGCAGTGGTTCCAATTGACTGCTGTCATAACCAGGCCATACCTGACCTGTATAGTTGTCAATATTAATGGTGGTAATAACACGATCTGTGTCCGTTAGAGGTCTCTGTCCCTCATCGGGGGGCGAGTAGTTGGGAGGCATAAGATGAGTTATGGGAACATTAACCCCGGGACTAAGAGGTATTGAAGGTTGAGTGGGGGATTTATTTGCAGGCAAGGGATAACGAGAATGTGATTGAGGCTCTTTTCTAAACGGGGGCATTAATTGATCTACAGGCTGTGCTGCCACCTCTAACGGAGGCATTAAATGAGTGACTATGGGTACTTGGGGATAGGCATTCGAAACAATTGGTGTCCAACTATTTCCGGGAGTTACAAAATGAATGGTTCGGGTGAAATTTTCTCGATTTAAATTTGGCGTGAGCGGATGAGGGTGATGGGTGTTCTGGACTATGGGAAATTGGGCATGAGGCTGGCCATTGCCAAAGACCTCTTCGGAGGCCTCTTGTGATCCTATGGGCTGAGCATAGACAACGGTCGATGTGGTGCTTCCGCTAGCAGGTAATGGTGCCAATGGTGTTTTTGTATAGGTATGCTGATTATAATTACGGTCGGGTTGCAGGGATCCTTCTTCGTAAATAACGGTATGCGTGGGTTCTTGTCTATCAACATTGATGGCAGTGCCAGACCAAACATTTGTGGTGACAGGTCTGCCGGCTGGCACGGCTTGCCAACCGGTCGAATGCTGATCATAAGATGAAGAAGAAGAACCTTGGGGACGAGGTATATTCATATTTGTCCAACGATCTCCGCCCGCTTGCTGTGTAGTTGTATGTGTTTGTTGGGTGTAGGTGTGTGTTGGAGGTTGATGTTGTGTTACGGTTGTGTGCGACCATTGATTGTTACTTCCAGAGCCATAGGATTGGGTGCCAGGATTGTTGTAACCTAAAATAAAAAAATTAAAGGATTAATTGGAAAATCAATGGGAATGAGCACTGATTCGAACATATCGCTCAAGGGTAAAAATAGGGTCACATTCAGGGTGGGATGAAAAAACTGCAACCAACTTCAGACTGCTGTTATTTCGAAGCCACTCGTCCGACAGCTGTTAAAATTATTCTAGTGACAGCTCATTATATTGTCTACAAGCGTACAAAAGCATTTTGGAGAGAATTTTCCAGAAAAAAGCGTGATGGAATTCAAGCGTGATAGTGTGATTTCTTTATATTTGGCTGGAAAACCCGAAGTGGCTATCATTTGAGAACTCCAGCATTTAAACGTGAATTGTGTCTCGCACCATCACTCGTTACCAAGATACTGGTAGCGTAGCCCGACGTCAAGGAAGTGGACGGAAGAAAACAGCTACATCAGCAGAAATGGTTCGAAAAGTAAAGAAGCGACTTGATCGGAACCCGCGTCGCAGTGGCCGAAAAATGGCTCGTGAGTTGAACATATCGCAATATACCATTCGGCAAATATTGAAAAATGAGCTCGGAGTAAAGCCATTGAAATTCCAAAAAGTGCAAGAACTTACACCACAACTGAAAGAAAATAGACTCAAAGGAGCTAAAGAGTTGCTTCGCTTGACCCAAAGTGGTGAACTGCCGACTTTGCTTTTCTCCGATGAGAAAACAATCGTTGTCCAGCAGTTTTTAAACAAACTAAATGATCGTGTTTACTTGCCAAAGAGGTCAGCTGAAAATGTGCACCTTCGGTTGGCAACCAGAACTCAAGCGCCGGCTATGTTGATGGTGTGGGCCGCCAAAACAGCCGATGGTCGCTCTCCGCTCGTATTAATCGACCGCTGGCATCAGAATAAATGCCGAATATTATCGCGAAAATATTCTGGAGGGTGTATTAAAGCCTTGGGTACGCAAACATTTTGGCCGCAGACCTTGGACATTCCAACAGGACTCAGCACGCGCCACCCAATAATGGTTACAAAATGAGGTTCCTCGCTTCAATTCCAGCGCACAATGGCCACTAAAATCTCCGGATACCAATCCGTTGGACTATCGTGTTTGGAGTATTTTGGAAACCAAGGTTGGCACTAAAAAATACTAAAGTGTCGATCACCTCAAGCAAGCGCTTCGCCGGGAATGGGCCAAAATACCGCAGAGCAACATTCGGGCAGCGTGTGAAGGTGACCAATTCGAACAAATCTGAACTTATTCTAAAATTTGATGCTGTTTTCGATATTTTTTGCTTTCATTCAATAAAATTTAAAAAGAAATGTAATAATTATGGTGTTTGACGTTGTTGAAGTTTTTTATCTCACCCTGTATATCGAATTAAATCTGAATTTCACTATGTATAACCCGTTTCAATCCCCGAGGTTGTCAAATTCCGCCGATAAAGTACGAGTGGTATATGCTTTAGGAGTCCTTAGACATCCTTTGTGAGTAATTTTATTATTATTATAGCCTGGTTGAGTAATTATTAAGGTCTATCACCACCGTATCCTTGAATATCTTTGTAGGGTATAAGGTATCTGGCAACCGTAGTTTTGGATACCCCTGTAGTCCTACGTATCGAATCTCCATAGACGTATCCGTGCACTCCCTCATAGGTTCTGCTTGAGTACTTATCCAGGTCTCTCGCATTAAATCCATCCGGTAGTCCTGAGTAAAAGATCACGAAGTCTGAGCACCAAATTCTGCTTCCCTTTCCCGTGTATCAAATACAGATCTAGGTTTCGAGTCGAAGAACCCTTATCAATTCCGCAACGAAGTGTCTTTCTCTTTCAATCTCAAAAGAAATACATTTCTGTACGAACCCGTGGACCCCGACGAGGTATTTCAGCCCAAAGGGAGAAATCCTGTCGTCACAACCCCAAGAAAAATTTCTTTCCCGAAATCAGGGTATAAAATCCTACCTCCGGAAACAATTTCAAAATAATCTGAGAGTTTTTACTAAACTAGAGTTAAGCCCCGAAATGGGCCATATAGGTCCATTTTCGAATTGCGAACCTGAAATACATTTGAGCAAAATTTTATCTAGCTTCTTCATGCTATTTGGAAGCTAGAGTGATTTTCACAGACGGGCAGACAGACACGGCCAGAATTTTAGAATAGAGTATTACGAATATTTACACTTTGTTCTCAAATCGGGTCGAAAATTAAGGGTACGTTGTATAAGGATTTTGAAATTAAAAATTCAGAATATAAATAATTTAATTTTTCGAAAAGGTATTACGCCCTTGTGAAATGTCCACTCACCTTGAGTATATGAATAGTCATAGTTGGTGCTATAAACTCCATTATTGCAACGATCCGTATTGGCCACATTTCGTTCGAGATCGCATACCTTGCGGGTGACACTAAACACTGTGCCAGGACTACAGTCCATGATGTGGGTATAGCCATTGGTGCAGCTTAAATATTTATGCCAGTCATAGGGATGCATGAAGAGGCCCTCTGCGCCAGGGGGACACTGGATTTCCGCTGGAAATATTGAAAAAAAAAAATGATTTTAATTTAATATCTCTTTCAATGATTTCTTCCTAAGCCTGAGCTAACTTACGTTGGTGTTGTTTCACCGGGTTCGTCGATGTAGTAGCTGTGGTGGACGTTGTTGCCTGCGATTGTGAACACTCAACTTTATCCATATAATCGCAAACTTCCATAGCCTTATTCCATGCTGTACCGGGACCACAGCTCTGAATGTGGGCCACGCCATTGGAACACATTACGAATTTCGTACAGTCATAGGGATGGGGATAACGTCCGTTGGAATTTGGCGATGGACAATTAACCTCCGCATTTGATGGTGTATAATATGGAAGGGTATTATGGTTATTATTATTTGTGGTTGAAGTAGTGGTGGTGGTGGTTGTCGCTGTGGTACCTCTTGCCCCGCCTCTATTATAATGTCCTTGACCCTGTGTCTGGCCATGGACATAGGAACTACGATCGTATTGGGAAACATCATTTTCATTGTAACATGAACTCCTCTCAATGCTAAACACCTGACCGGGTGGACAATTCTCGACAGCAATACGACCGTTGGCACAGCGCATGAATTTATGACCATCCTGTGGATGAGGATATATGCCAAATGTTCCCGGACCGCAGCTGATACCCAGGTCACGGTCTAAAAAACAATCATATATGAAATTAATAATTTGGCCTTAAAATTGGATATAGCTTAGGAGGGGCTTATGATGAAGGGATGGGGAAATATTAAAAGTTTTATATTTGCTTTTTTTAGGAAAAGCTTTTCTAGAGGAAAAGCTGCTCCTCCACCGGAGCAACTTTTCTATGGGAAAAGCTGCTCCTCCACCGGAGCAACTTTTCTATGGGAAAAGCTGCTCCTCCACCGGAGCAACTTTTCTATGGGAAAAGCTGCTCCTCCACCGGAGCAACTTTTCTATGGGAAAAGCTGCTCCTCCACCGGAGCAACTTTTCTATGGGAAAAGCTGCTCCTCCACCGGAGCAACTTTTCTATGGGAAAAGCTGCTCCTCCACCGGAGCAACTTTTCTATGGGAAAAGCTGCTCCTCCACCGGAGCAACTTTTCTATGGGAAAAGCTGCTCCTCCACCGGAGCAACTTTTCTATGGGAAAAGCTGCTCCTCCACCGGAGCAACTTTTCTATGGGAAAAGCTGCTCCTCCACCGGAGCACCTTTCCTATGGGAAAAGCTGCTCCTCCACCGGAGCAACTTTTCTATGGGAAAAGCTGCTCCTCCACCGGAGCAACTTTTCTATGGGAAAAGCTGCTCCTCCACCGGAGCAACTTTTCTATGGGAAAAGCTGCTCCTCCACCGGAGCAACTTTTCTATGGGAAAAGCTGCTCCTCCACCGGAGCAACTTTTCTATGGGAAAAGCTGCTCCTCCACCGGAGCAACTTTTCTATGGGAAAAGCTGCTCCTCCACCGGAGCAACTTTTCTATGGGAAAAGCTGCTCCTCCACCGGAGCAACTTTTCTATGGGAAAAGCTGCTCCTCCACCGGAGCAACTTTTCTATGGGAAAAGCTGCTCCTCCACCGGAGCAACTTTTCTATGGGAAAAGCTGCTCCTCCACCGGAGACTTTCTATGGGAAAAGCTGCTCCTCCTTCGTAGCAACTTTTCTATGGGAAAAGCTGCTCCTCCACCGTAGCTACTTTTCTATGGGAAAAGCTGCTCCTCCACCGGAGCAAGATCCTCCTCCGGAGTAACTTTTCTATGGGAAAAGATCCTCCTCCGGAGTAACTTTTCTATGGGAAAAGATCCTCCTCCGGAGTAACTTTTCTATGGGAAAAGATCCTCCTCCGGAGTAACTTTTCTATGGGAAAAGATCCTCCTCCGGAGTAATTTTTCTATGGGAAAAGATCCTCCTCCCGAGTAACTTTTCTATGGGAAAATACCCCCCTCCGGAGTAACTTTTCTATGGGAAAAGACCCTCCTCCGGAGTAACTTTTCTATGGGAAAAGATCCTCCTCCGGAGTAACTTTTCTATGGGAAAAGATCCTCCTCCGGAGTAATTTTTCTATGGGAAAAGATCCTCCACCGGAGTAACTTTTCTATGTGAAAAGATCCTCCACCGAAGTTAATTTTCTATGGGAAAAACATTATCCTCCGAAGTAATTTTTCCATAGGAAAACATCATCGAAACATCTTTTCTATAGGAAAAGCTCTTTCTCCATCGGAGCAATCTATAGAAAAAAATGATACTCCATTGAGATCCTCCTTTTCAGGAGAAACGATTCTATAGGTAGATATCCTCCTCTCGCCGAGATTTTTTTTATGAAAAGATCCTCCACTTCCGAAGGATTTCGTTTGATTTTGATTTCCCCTCCAGATAGACGTTATAAATTGTTACAACATTTATTTATTAATAATAAGAATTATTTAAAGGCCTACACTTACCGGCTTGCAAGACATGCTCATTGGAGAATTCATGTTTGGTCGTTGTCAGATATTCCACCCTGTCGTAGGCCTCAACTCTGTCACGAAGTATGCACTGCTTGCGCGAAATACTAAAAACGGCTCCATTAGCACAGCCATCAATGTTTGTGGCTCCATTCGAACACTCGATGTATTTGGTGCAATCGAATGGGTGCAGGAAATAGCCACTTAATCCAGGCGGGCACATGAGGTAGGTTAAGCCATCGACTGGAGATGAAAACATAAATAACACATTTGTAACTCTTGATTTTAAAGTTCCACTTACTTGAACCATAAGTTGTTTCCATATCCGAAATATGCCATTCCTGCCCATAGGATGTCTCAATTGGTGGCACACGATCTCTCGCCTCAAGATCCTCCTTCATTTCACAATGCTTGCGCGACAAACTGAATGCCTTACCCGAAGCACATGATTCGGAAATCATACGACCACCACTACAGGTTATATATTTTGAGCTATCGAATGGATGTGGATAGGCACCAGATAATCCCATCGGACAATAGATCATGGTATGGACATCGAAATGCTCCTCAATATTACGATAGTTGTTGGTTTTCTGCAGTTCGCTCAATAAACGAACTCTTTCGGTTTTCAAAACTTGATTGCGCGGCAAACACATGCGCCTGGTGGTACTGAAGACTTGCGAAGGATTACATCCAATGACTTCCATTTGACTGTGCACACATTTGATGTATTTCTCAGCATTGAAGGGATACAGGTGAATGCCCTCCGTTCCCGGTGGACAGGTGATAAGGGTCTGAGCTGGAAAAAGAAATTGAGAAGCTTGTAAAATATTTTAATTGAAGTAGCCATATTTATGGGACTTACCATATTCATAGCTGACCTCCGACACAATATACAAGACATGGTCTATTTTTTGTATTTGTTCCAACGACTCACAATAGCCCTTCGAAATACTGAAGGCTGTACCTTGGACACAGTTCTGAATGGCAGTGTTGCCATTCTTACAGTTAATAAATTTCGTATAGTCGAAGGGATAAGGGAAGAGGCCGGTAATGCCATTCAAACATAAAATATCACTGGTATGTGGCAGATCATTAGGACCACCGCCGCTATTGGGCGGAGTTGTGTGCTGTGTATCTGTTGCGTGAGGGAAAAAAACAAGAAAATGGATTTTCTATCAAAAAATTTCGACCATATCATGCTTTTAATTATTTGCAAAATATTAAGCCATCAAGCAAGTGAATAAAAGTATAGCAGTATAGCATAAACAGTGCATCTGTAAAATTTACTTCGGAGAACATTATTTACAAAAGTGGTTATATATGTCAGGCAAGGTTTATACAAATATTGATGTGGAATATCAAGTCGTTACATATGATGGTCTTATATATGTGGAAAATATCTTAAACATGTCTTATATAAAGAATAGAAGAAGAGTGACCTTGAAGATTCTCCTTCGGAGTAACTTTTCTATAGGAAAAGATTCTCCTTCGGAGTAACTTTTCTATAGGAAAAGATTCTCCTTCGGAGTAACTTTTCTATAGGAAAAGATTCTCCTTCGGAGTAACTTTTCTATAGGAAAAGATTCTCCTTCGGAGTAACTTTTCTATAGGAAAAGATTCTCCTTCGGAGTAACTTTTCTATAGGAAAAGATTCTCCTTCGGAGTAACTTTTCTATAGGAAAAGATTCTCCTTCGGGGTAACTTTTCTATAGGAAAAGATTCTCCTTCGGGGTAACTTTTCTATAGGAAAAGATTCTCCTTCGGGGTAACTTTTCTATAGGAAAAGATTCTCCTTCGGGGTAACTTTTCTATAGGAAAATATTCTCCTTCGAAGTAACTTCTCTATAGAAAAAGATTCTCCTTTCGAGTAACTTTTCTATAGAAAAAGATTCTTCTTCAGAGTAACTCGTTTATTTAGAAAGTCCCTACTTCGCAGTAACATGTCTTATATGAAGAATAGAAGAAGAGTGACCTTAAAGTTCTCATCCGGAGTAACTTTTCTTTAGGAAAAGATTGTCCTTCGGAGTAACTTTTCTATAGGAAAATATTCTCCTTCGGAGTAACTTTTCTATAGGAAAATATTCTCCTTCGGAGTAACTTTTCTATAGGAAAATATTCTCCTTCGAAATAACTTCTCTATAGAAAAAGTAACTTTTCTTCAGGAAAAGTTTCTTCTTCCGAGTAACTTTTCTATAGGAAAAGGATCTCTTTCCGAGTAACTTTTCTATAGGAAAAGGTTCTACTTCGGAGTAACTTGTTTATTTAGAAAGATTCTCCTTCTTATATAAAGAATAGAATATTCTCCTTTGGAATAACTTTTCTTTAGGAAAATATTCTTCTTCGGAATAACGTTTCTTTAGGAAAAGATTCTCCATCGGAGTAACTTTTCTATAGAAAAAGGTTCTCCTTCGAAGTAATTTTTCTATAGAAAAAGATATTCCTTCAGAGTAGTTTGTTTATTTAGAAAGATCCTCCTTCGAAGTAACATGTCTTATATGAAGAATAGAAGAAGAGTGACCTTGAAGATTCTCATCCGGAGTAACTTTTCTTTAGGAAACGATTCTCCTTCGGAGAAACTTTTCTATAATAAAATATTCTCCTTCGGAGTAACTGTTCTATAAAAAAAGGTTCTCCTACGGAGTAGCTTTTCGATAGGAAATGATTCTCCTTCAGAGTAAGTTTTCCCTAGAAAAAGATTCTACCTCCGGAGCAACGTTTGCAAACATTTTTAGTACCTCGGAGAAACTTTTCTATAATAAAATATTCTCCTTCGGAGTAACTTTTCTATAAAAAAAGGTTCTCCTACGGAGTAGCTTTTCGATAGGAAATGATTCTCCTTCAGAGTAAGTTTTCCCTAGAAAAAGATTCTACCTCCGGAGCAACGTTTGCAAACATTTTTGGTACTAAATTAGGCATTTCTTCAGACTGCTTGCTGCATACACATACACACACATAATTTGAATAACATAAGCGAATGATAGAAAACATTAGTGACATTTCAAGCGGAATGAAAAAGCATAGTGAGAAAGCAAACAGAAAATAATAATTAATCTCCGAAAACTCACGACCATGTTGGACTGTGGTCACATCGGTGGTAATTGCCCAAACACTACCCGAACCGCATTGCACTTTTTCCTTGTAATCACAGACCAAACGAAGACTATCAAAACCGGTACCGGGACCGCAATTTTGAATGAAAGTCTGACCATTCGAACATTGTAAGAACTTTTCACAGTCTTGGGGATGGGGATGCAAGCCAGATGCTCCGGGGGGACATTGGACATTTTCATTAACCGCTTCGAATTCTGTTGCACCGTGTTCGCCATAACTGTTAAATGAATGCGAAGACGTGCCCCAGGAACTTCCAGCCACACAATGGATTTTTTCTTTATAGTCACAAACTTTGAGGTTACTATCGAATCCGGTTCCAGGTCCACAATCCTGAATGTAGGTTATGCCATTGGAACATTGTAGGAATTTTGTGCAGTCATAGGGATGGGGATAGAGGCCAGAGGCTCCCGAGGGACATTTGACTTGGGATCTATCTGCCTTTGCTCCTATTATTTAGACGGGTTTTCATTAATGGGGGGGGGGGGGGGGGGAATTAAATGATCTTTCTGGGGGATGAGAAAACTAAAAAATCTAAATAATTACCTTGGGTCGAATGGACATGAACCTCAGCCGTTGCTTCGCTGCGCCCAGAACAATCCACTTTTTCCTTGAAATCGCACACTTTCATGGGTATGCTGAATGCAGTACCAGGACCACATTGTTGTACATGAACATTGCCGTTGGCACAATTTATGAATTTGGTACAGTCCGCTGGATGAGGCTCTAAACCCTGCGACCCAGATGGACACAACATGTCCACACTCTCGGTGGTATCATCAATGTAGCGGCCAGCCCGATTAGTTGATGTTGTCGCCGTCTGTGTTAGATGGCCTTGTGTGGTTTTGCCTGCAACATGGGATCCCACCAAACCAGCGGCACATTTCACCTTATCCGGTCGATCACATTCCAGTGTCTCGGGATTGAAAACGGTGCCCACCGAGCATGATTGGATGTGACCACGACCCTTCCAACAATTGAGGAAACGTCTGCAGTCATAGGCATAGGGCAGTTGACCGGTATGACCCGATGGACAACCTGTGTAATAATCGGTGATATCATTCTCAATTTGTTGTATGCGACCCGATGTTTGTTGGGTGGCATGACCGGTGGGGTGTCTTTCATAAATGGGTTGAGGTTGGGGTTGGGGTTGACGTTGCTGCTGATGATGATAACGATAACTACTTTCATGTTGTTGCGGCTGCTGATATGAATTATCAATGGAACCATGCATCGACGAGGACGACGATGACGACGTCCACTGCGGTGATGATCCTCGACTCTGATGTGTTATTGTCATCTGATAATCGTTGTCATTGCCATTGTTGCCCAGATTATTGGGATTGTGCCCGTAGTGATATTCACCAGTTATGGGAACATACTGATGGCTCTGATGACGTGTTGTATATGTTTGTGTTGTAATCTGTGGATCTGAGGTATAAACGCTTGTCTTCACCCCAGAGGTATAAGTCTGAAAGGGTACAATGAGAATAAAATTTAACAAGTAAAATAATTTCAGTCGGTTTTGCCGACATATTTATGCCCCCCGTTTTGAGTTATGATTATTCAAACTTTTGACACTTTATGGGGTAGGTTCCGAAGCAGTTAGCCAATATTGACCAATTCGTATGTGACCTAAGACTGATAAAAATATTACAACGTGCCAGATTTGGACTGTATCGACTTCTTCCTATACTTTATATGAAGTATGTGTAAATTTTTGGAAAATGTGAAAATATGCGTGAGGTAACAGATATGGCGGACCGAAGAATTCCATTTTCATACTTCATCTAATACAGATAAAAATATTGGAATGGGCAAAATTTAAAGGAAATCCAACATTTACATCCAATTTTATGCGAAATCATAAATTTCGATAAAATACCTATTCATATCAGATTTCTGGTTAAGAGAAACATTTAGATATAGAACGTTGTAAAGAATCGCCAACTTGTTTTGTAATTTATGACAAATATAAGTATTGGACCCTTTGTGGTGAGCTACCAGAAGGGCTTGGTAGATCTTGCGTTTGCAAAAATGTTTGTGTGTGTGAAATTTGAAGAGAGTTGGATGTTTATTTCGTTTTCATCGAGCTTTTGTTTTTCAAAATCTTGAACCCTATGCGAGAGAGGTACCAAAAAACAAATAGTCCGATTTCTACCATTTTTATAACAGATCTTGTGTTGGTGAGAATATCGAGATGTACCAAGTCCGAATGGAATCGGATATTAATTTCACATTTTATGAGCTTCATGGATACTCAAAATGTTGACCCATTGTGGGGGTGTTACCAGAAGGACTGGACCTATATATCCCAATTTCACACCAGACCTTGATTAAATAAAAATATTGTAAAGTGAGTAATTTGAAGAGAACCGGACGCTCATTTTGTATTTCATTATCGTTTTGGTTATTCAAAACTTTGTGGGGGAGGTACCAGAAGGAATGTTCCCATCTCCACCATCCTTATAATAGATCTTGTGTCGATAGAAAAATTGAGATGTGCCAAGTTTGAATGAAATCTGATGTTAATTTCGTGTTTTATGATATTCTTGAATATTCAAAATTTTGAACCTTTGTGGGGGAGGTACCAGAAGGAGTGGTCCGATATCTACCATCTCTATAATATAGCTTGTGTTGATGAAAATATTAGAATGTGTCAAGTCTAAATATAATCCGATGTTAATTTCGCGTTTTATGAGCTACATGGATATTCACAATTTCGACCCTTTGTGGGGGAGGTACCAGAAGCAGTGGACCGATATATTCCATCTTAACACCAGACTTTGGGTTGATAAAAATATTGGGATTCGTGAAATTTGAAGACAATCGGACACTTACATAACATTTTATAAGAATTGTAATTATTCAAAATGTTGACCCTTTGTGGGAGAGGTACTTGGCATGGACCGATGTTGCCCATTTTCTCACCTGACCTAGCACTGACGTAAATATTAGGATTTGCAAATCGGATCATCGTATCTTTTTCTGTGCAGAAAATATATTTTTTGAATATTTCGACCTTTTGTAGGGGAGGTTCCAGAAGGAGTGAACAGATATTGCCCATCTCCGAACTCGATCTAAGCTTGAAAAAAGATATTACGATGTACCCAGTTTGAACCAAATCGGATACTCCCTTTGAGAGTTATCGTGCGCACCAGCCATACAGATGGACGGACGGACATCGCTAGATCGATTCCAAATGTCCTGAAATGAATTTGGTCCAAAGAGACCTATAGTCTAAAACCGTTATTCCGATGAAGCACGTTTTGGCCGTATAAAATGATATACAGGGTGAGATAAAAAAAAACTGCAACAAAAACAAACGCCGTAATTTTTATTTTTTTTTTAAATTTTATTGAATGAAAGCAAAAAATGTCCGAAAAAGCATCAAATTTTTAAATAAGTTTAGATTTGTTCGAATTGATCACCTTTGGCACGAATTATGGCCTTCAAACGTCCAATGAAACCGTCACACGCTGCCCGAATGTTGCTCTACGGTATTTTGGCCCATTCTCGGCGAAGCGCTTGCTTGAGGTGATCGACACTTTGGTATTTTTTAGTGCCAACCTTGCTTTCCAAAATACTCCAGACACAATAGTCCAACGAATAGGTATCCAGGTGATTTTGGTGGCCATTGTGCGCTGGAAATGAAGCGAGGAATCTCATTTTGTAACCATTCTTGGGTGGCGCGAGCTGAGTCCTGCTAGAATCTCCAAGGTCTGCCGGCAAAATGTTTGCGTACCTAAGGCTTTAATACACGGCATTTATTCTGATGCCATGGTCGTTTAATACGAGGGGAGAGCGACTATCGGCTGTTATGGCGGCCACACCATCACCATAGCCCGCGCTTGAGTTCTGGTGGCAAAACGAAGGTGCACCTTTCCAGCTGACCTCTTTGGCAAGTAAACACGATCATTTTGTTTGTTTACAAACTTCTGGACAACGAATGTTTTCTCATCGGAGAAAACCAAATTCGGCAGTTCACCACTTTCGGCCAAGCGAAGCAACTTTTCAGCTCTTTTGAGTCTATTTTCTTTCTGTTGCGGTGTAAGTTCTTGCATTTTTGGAATTTCAATGGCTTTACCCCGAGCATATTTTTCAATATTTGCCGAATGGAATATTGCGATACATTCAGCTCACGAGCCACGGGTTTCTATCAAGTCGCCTCTTTACTTTGAACCATTTCTACTGATGTTGCTGTTTTCTTCCGTCCACTTCCTTGACATATGTCGGGCTACGCTACCAGTATCACGGTAACGAGCGATGGTACGAGACACAAAAGATTTATTCACATTTAAATGCTGGAGTGCTCTAACGATAGCCACTTGTGGATTTCTAGTCAAATATAAAGATATCACACTATCACGCTTGAATTCCATCACGAATAACGCTTTTGTGCGCTTGTAAACAATATCATGAGCTGTCATTGGAATAGTGGCTTCGAAATGACAGCAGTCTGAAGTTGGTTGCAATTTTTTTCATTTCACCTTGTATACACTATCTAGACATATGGCTGAGGGTATAGAAATATGAGCAGTACAAGCAATATTTTCCATTTTCCCTAATTTCTCTCCGTCTAATCTATATTCACTTACTATAATTTTATAAAAAACTCACATTTGACATATGTTCGATAGGCCTTGCATAGTATTTTCTTGCTCAATTCTTTATCTGCATAGAAGTTAATTTTAAAACGCCCTTACAACATAAATCCACATGCGAGATTATGACTGAAACACGCATTCATTATACATGTGTAAACACTTCTTGCCGATTACTTCGCACCAAATGACTCATAGAGACATTTCTATTCGACTTTCTTTGAACAACAACAGCAAATACAAAAAAATAGTTCTGGGAATGGAAAAACAACACAAATTTCTTCAATAGAACTCGAGGCATCACAATCAATTAAACGTGATCAGGAAGAATTTGTGCCACAGAAAAATACGAAAACCAATTTCCCATTCGCACAACAATTGGGACAACCAGACAGCAGATAATCAAGTGTATTCATTGAGCAGATAATCGCATGTTGTTGTTTTTTTTTTTTCACGGGAGAAGCTAAGGCATAATACCACAGGGGCAAATTGAATCGCATATTTCTTGATAAAGGCAAACAAAAACAGCAAAAACAACAACATTTTTTGAATGCAAGATCATAAACTACGATCCGAAATGGAAGCAAATGTTATCAGTTTTCGAAGTGATCTTTTAGGTGTTATCATCGACAATTTCTAATGAATTGAGTTTGAAAAAAAAATCACACACACACAATATAAATGAATTATTTTTCATTAAACAATATCCTGCAAAGGATATTTTTTTCACTTGGACAAACTATTCGATTTTTGTATACTAACCGCTTTAACTCCACCAATTAAAAGCAAATTTGCCCACAACACAAGATTCACAAAATGCCACTTCATTTTTTTGGAATTTATATTCCACATTTTTTCATAACAATTATTTTGATTTTTTCGAATATTTTTTTATATTGACTCAATATTAATATGTTTTGGATTTTTTCTTCATAAACCACAAAATATATAGAAGTACTTATAATTATTTTCGTTTTAAAATTCGCCGCCGAACCGTTGCCTATGAATGGCAAATAAGATTTAAATTCTCTTTTCCATCCCGTCCAATTAAAAAGTATCATTGCAACCAGAAACACTCCGGCTCTCCTCTCGCTCATAAAATAACTGATAATGCAGTAGTTCTTGGGAACTGAGAGTCTGACAGAGTGGGAGAGAATATTCTATAGCTGACTGTCACCCAAAATTAGATTATCTACAAAGATCCTCAAATTATAATACACTGAGCCCTATTATTGCTGCTCGACAAATCCATAACAGGAAAAACTGCAAAACCCTTTCTTGTACCCCAAGTAGTTGGAAACAAATTTAAGAGCACACAAGAAAATGACGCTCTCCTTGAACAGTTTTAGACCCTCAGTCATATGGCTACAGAGGATATTTATTATTTGATACGGTCAGAACGTGCCCGGGTCTCTTTGGACCAAATCCGTTTTAGGACATTTGCAATCGATCAAGCGATGTCCGTCCGTATGTCTGGCTACCTGATGCGCACGATAACTCCGAAGGGTGTTCGCAGTTGGGCAATATCGGCCCACTCCTTCTGGTACCTCCCCCACAAAAGGTCGAAATTTTGAAAATATATACTTTCTGCACGGAAGGAGAAACAATAATTCGAACAATAATCCCTTTCAGGACATTTGGAGTCGATCCGGGGGTGGCCGCACCATAACTCTTAAAGAGAGTGACCGATTTGATTAAAAATGTCGGTACATCGTAATATTATTATTAAACTTAGATTGAGATTGCTGATGAGCAATATGGGTCCACTCCTTCTGGTACCCTCCCCACAAAAGATCAGAACTTTCATAGAAAGTAATTATCCCTATAGAATAAGAATGGACCTGATTTCGCTCCAACTTTGTAAATCCCAATATTTGCATTAGTGCTCGGCCAACTCTATCAAGTACCTTCCCACAAAGGGTCAACATTTTGAATACTTACAACTTATATAAATATAATGTACGATTCCGATTGTCTAAAAATTACACACATCACAATATTTTATATTTATACCCTACAACACTATGTGTTGGAGGTATTATAAGTTTGATTGTACCAAAAACTTTGTAGCACATATGAAAGTATATATGAATCTTTCTATTTTGCCGAACTCAGTCGATCCAGCCATGTACACAGGGTGAGATGAAAAAACTGCAACCAACTTCAGATTGCTGTCATTTCTAAGCCACTCGTCCGGCGACTGTTAAAAGTATTTCAGTGACAGGTCGTTATATTGTTTACAAGCATACAAAAGCATTTTGGTGAGAATTTTCCATAAAAAAAAGGTTATTAGTGTTGGAATTCAAGCGTGATAGTGTGATTTCTTTATATTTGGCTGGAGAACCACATTGAAAAATAAGCTCGGAGTAATGCCATTGAAATTGCAAAAAGTGCAAGAACTTACACCGCAACAGAAAGAAAATAGACTCAAAAGAGCTAAAGAGTTGCTTCGCTTGGCCGAAAGTGATGAACCCCCGAATTTGGTTTTCTCCGATGAGAAAACATTCGTTATCCAGCAGTTTGTAAACAAACAAAATGATCGTGTTTACTTGCCAAACAGGTCAGCTGAAAATGTGCACCTTCGGTTGGCCACCAGAACTCAAGCGGCGGCCACGGTGATGGTGTGGGCAGCCATAACAGCCGATATTAATCGACCGTGGCATCAGAATAAATGCCGGATATTATCGCGGAAATATTCTGAAGGGTGTATTAAAGCTTTGGGCACGCAAACATTTTGGCCGCAGACCTTGGACTTTCCTCTCAGCATCATCGCACTCAGCACGCGCTTCCCCAGAATGGCGCAATGGCCACCAAATCTCCGGCTACAAAAGTGTCGATCACCTCAAGCAAGCGCTTCGCCGGGAATGGGCCGTGTAACGGTTTCATTGGCCGTTTGAAGGCCATAATTCGTGCCAAAGGTGACCAATTCGAACAAATCGGAACTATTTGATGCTATTTCCGACTTTTTTTTGCCTTCATTCAATAACATTTAAAAAAAATGTAAAAAGTATGGCGTTTGACTTTGTTGCAGTTTTTTTATCTCACCCTGTACAATGTGTATATACACAGGAAAGGGATATTAGCTAGAATACCTATATCTCAAGAATGACTGGACCGATTTTGACAAATTTTGTCAACTCAGAATGCCGTCTTGGCATAAAAGAATAAAAAGGTTCCAATAATGATTTTAATATAGATTTTAGATTTTTAGGAATTTTGTGATTTTTTTCATATTTTTATCGCATGCGATTTTTTCGATTTAACTTTTAATATTGAAGTGCGTATTTTGTAATATTTTTTCACCTTGCAACACAGTTTGGGGTTATTATCTACAGATTGCAATTATCGTCCGATCCTCACTAACATTTTCATAAAAGGCAAGGTCTAAGACAGAAAATTATCTGTGAAGGTCTACATCTTGGTTTAGCCCCCATATACCTCCCGATGCTCGGTATTTTGACGATTTCAGCAACATTATTCACCGGAATCGTTTCAAATTTCGTGCTGGAAGATCCTAATGGGTACTACAACCTAAGGCAGAAAATTGTCTGTGCATGTCCAGGTCTTCGTATTTTCATGATTTTTGCGATATTATTCACCGTAATTATAACAAATTTTATATTTGAAGTTCGTAATGGGCACTACAGCCTATGACAAAAAAATTTCGTATGCAAGTCCACGTCTTTGTATAGTCCCCATATAAAGGTTTCCATTTAAGTGGTAGTTTTCAGAATTTTTAGCTTCTTTTTTACTTGTTTAGGCTGATTTCGTTGAAGGTTATAGCCAAATATCGTAGACTAGCAAATAAATATAGATGAGTCTAATTTTAGAGATTCAAAGGAGCCGTTTGCATATGGAGATGATCGCAAAATATGAAACAAAAACAGAACAATTTTCCTGATCACACAATTGAAACCAATCGACGCGGAATTTTGCATGAGAAGAGAGTTAATGACAGGGAAGAGGTCTAGCATTTTGGATGACCATTGGATTATATTTAGCTGTAAAATGAACACAACAGCTAACAGCACGGCGGAGTGCGTAAATATTGGGCAAATGTCCCTGGTCAATAAGCTATAGGTAATATCTGGGCTGGGCTCTACGACATAATTTCAAAAGCGAAATCTTCTAAAACGGGTTTGAACATAAGGGGGCTTCTACCATATTGTAGTGTTGTAGGCTATCACATGGTCGGCCCGCACGACTATAGCCTTTTTTATATTTGTATTAAACCAAGGTTTGTTGTGAAATCGACCCTTAAAAATTGTCGATTTGTTTCGCAAGTTAGGACAAAGAAGTTTTGAAAATTGTTACTCTTTGTGGGTTAGGTACCAGAAGGGGTTCGCAGATATATATATATTTTTCACAACAGATCCTGCGTTACCTAAAATATTTGGACATGTGAAATTTAAAGAGAGTTGGATACTTATTCGCCTTTTTTAAGCATTTTGTTTTTCAAAAATCTTGAACCCCATGTGAGGGCGGTACCACAAGAAATTGTTTATAGAAATGTTGTGTGTGATGTGTGAAGTCTAAATGGTATCGGATGTAAATTTCGTGGATATTCCAAAATGTTGACCCGTTGTGGGAGTGGAGAAGCCTGGACCGATATATTCCACCTTGGGTTAATAAAAAATATTGTGATGTGTGTAATTTGAAGACAATCGGACTCTTATTTTACATTTTATAAGAGTTATAATTATGTTGATTCAAAATATTGATGATGATTTGTGGGGGATGTACTTGATGGAGTGGCCAGATATTGCTTATTTCCGCATCTGACCTAGCACTGATGCAAGAATTGGGATTTGCAAAGTTGGAGAAAAACAGATTATCCTTTCTCTTTCTGTGCAGAAAATTATTTTCTTTGAAAATGTTGACATTTTGTGGGCGAGCTACCAGAAGGAGTGAACCGATATTACCCATCTCCGAATTCGTTTTAAGTTTGACAATAATATTATGATGTTCCAAGTTTGGATCAAAACGGATACTCCCTTCGGAAGTTATCGAGGCATAACTCCATAACAACCATTCAGACAGACGGACGGACGGATGGACATCGCTAGATCGACTCCAAATGTCTTGAAACGGATTTGGTCCAAGGAGGCCTAGGGCTGAGGGTATGCTGAGGGTATACAAATGTGCCCCTTCAGTTGTAAAAAAGCTCACAACATCTGTATTAACAAGTACAAAATAGCACAGTAGAAAAGTATGATTGTATATTTTTACCAATATTTCAACCAGGACATTTTAAGGTAATAGCTTAATTATTTTCATAATTTTTCAGATAATAAATATTCAACACTGTATTTAACCATACATGTATTTATAACACATATATTGTTTATTACTTCCTCCAAGGACCATAATGGTAACCCCAAATCTTTCCAAGGCACACACAAAAGATTCTTCAATCTTGAACTCCGTAAACAGAGTCTCAAGTGTAAGTGAATGTTTTTTTTTTTTTAATGCAAAGAGGGAGAGCAATTTGTGTCTGTTCTTATCAGTGACAATTTGGTGGCGCGAAATAAATTCGAGATAAGCGGATGCATTCAGAACTGTTTTCTTATGAATTTGTATTTTCCATTTTTTTTCGGCAGCGTGCCTTTACTTTTTATTTTACTTAATATTTGTTTTCTTAGTATTTGGTAAACAATCGACCTCAAGCACAAAGGCACAAAAGGGAGCCAGCCAGAGTACGGAATAATAAAAACAATAGTAGAATGTCAACAATGAATGAATAATTGTTGTTAAATTATGAATAAAGATTTGAACTATTGTACTTTTTATATGTACACATTTGTATTTACACATGACCACAAAGTATTGTATTACATTTATGTTTACATATTTGAAGGATGGTTAAACTTTAATAAGAACAAACATTTGTTGGTTGCAGTTGTAGCTGTTTATAAAGTCATGTTTGTTCTACTAATGTGATTGTTGCTTTAACTTCAAGTCTATAAATGCTGCCTAAGAGTAACCATAAATCTTCACCAGTTTGTTGTGTAGTTTTGGCAGGGCAATTGAAAAGATGCAGCGACGTGTCATTAATCGGCGGCGCCCAATATGAATTCCCAAAAATGTCTTGGTTTGAAAGAGACTTGGAAAAAAATGAAAAATACGGCATTGTTATACAGTAACAAGTAAAAAAACATTAAGGTCGGCTGGGCCGAACTTTTAATACCCTCCACTTTTAGTAATGACAACTTTTTTTATATATAAGCTTTTGAATTCAAAAATTTTTCACTTTAAACTAAGACCGTTTGGATAATGCTATTAAACTTTTCAAAAAAAAAAAAAAAAAAAAAAAAAAAAAAAAACAAGTAAGCAAAGACTATAGTCGTGCGGGGCCTTGTCCTTAACTCTCTTCTCCGGCGTGTCGATTAGCTTCAATTGTGTGATCAGCAATTTTTTTCTGTTTTTTATCTCCAAAAGCAAGCAGAGGGCCCCTCTGTATTTCCAAATTTAGACTCATTTATATGATTTGATAATGATAATTACTCAAAATTTTGACCCTTTGTGGGTCACATTTTATTACAGTTGTAATTATTCAAAATTTTGACCATTTGTGGGGGAGGTACTTGATGGAGTGGACCGACACTGTCCATTTTCACATCTGACCTAGCACTGACGTAAATATTAGGATGTGCAAAGTTGTACCAAAATCGGATTATCATTTCTCTTTCTATGCAAAAAATATATTTTTTGAAAATTTTGACATTTTGGGGGGGAGGTACCAGAAGGAGTGGACCGATATTGCCCATCTCCAAACTCGATCTAAGTTTGACAAAAATATTACGATGTACCCAGTTTGGACCAAATCGGATTCTCCCTTCGAGAGTTATCGTGCGCACCAGCCAGACCTACGGACAGACAGACAGACGAACGGACGTCGCTAGATCGACTCCAAATGTTCTGAAACGGATTTGGTCCAAAGAGACATAGGGTCTAAAACCGTTATTTCGACCTGCTCGTCTATTACGATGTACCCAGTTTGGACCAAATCGGATTCTCCCTTCGAGAGTTATCGTGTGCACCAGCCAGACCTACAGACAGACAGACGAACGGACATCGCTAGATCGACTCCAAATGTTCTGAAACGGATTTGGTCCAAAGAGACATAGGGTCTAAAACCGTTATTTCGACCTGCTCGTCTATTTGTGATTTCGCCGGGATTAAAAATGTTCGCGATTTAATGGAAAATTTGACTTTGATTTAACACAAACGTTATGGTCTATTTCACCCACTAAATATTACCCGATGACCATCAAAATTAGAAGGCTTCTGTCCAGCCCTAAACTCTATCCCCATGCTAACTTCCGCGTCGATTGGTCTATAATTGCGACCTGTAGAGCAACAGCAAAATAAGCAACATTTTCAATCCATTTCAACCCTAAATATTATGCGATCATCTCCAAAAGCAAAAGGCTTCTATTCTGGTCCTAGCCCCACCTCCATTCTTAATTTCGTGAAGATCGGGCCATGATTGCGATCTGTAGAGTGATTACAAATAAAAATGGACAGACGGACGGACGGACATACATAGCTATATCGACTCAGCTCGGCGAGATAGGAAGATCTAGATAAACTTTCCAATGTGGGAAACCAATATTTCGAGGTGTTACATAATTTTTGTCAAAATCAAACTTATAATACTCCCAACACATAGTGTTATATGGGGGCCATTCCAAAGCGGGAACCTCTATTGGCAATTTTTTACTTCAGGGGTTGTAATCTTCTTAAATACCTAATTTGAAACAATTTCGTGGATAAATGTGACCAAGATTTTCAAAATAATGGATATAGGTGAGTATTGTTATATGTGCACTATAGGAAAGCGTGGACATAAATATCCATGTTCTGCAACCGGAATTAGAACCCATTATGAACTGCAACTACCAATTTGTTGACAAAGACGGAGAAAAAATGCGGCAAAAATTAGCAAAACACCGAATATCGGGAGCTACCGTGTATTGGGGATATAGCAAAACGTGCACCCATATATACTATGTTCTGCCACCGGGCTAGAACCCATTATGAACTACAACTACGAATTTGTTGAATGCGGCAAAAATCATCGCCAACGATAGTGGAAAAATGAACGGTGGAACAATGAACATAACACCGCACCTAGAACCGCCCGTCGATCGCCTACATAAGAAGGCGAATGTCTTACCGGGGCGACAGCATAAAAAAATGCTCTCAATGCCTGGGTCTTACAAACAGAGCCATCCAAACCACCATCTGTCTCAGAAGTCATAGGGGAATATAGATTGAATACCGTACTGAAAGATCATTCCCCTCCCATCACAGCTGAAGAGCGAAATCTACCCCGACATACCAGAGTAGTTTTGGCTCAGTTATGATCCGGATGGTGCAGCCGACTCAATTCCTCTTGGGCCCGGATTGACAGTAATATGCAGAATATCTACCCATAAGCCCATATGACACGCTACACCTATTTCGATGCCCAGCCAAACCTACTCAGCTTACCCCAGCCGTACAGGTTGTGGCCTTCTTGAGACTGGACTTAGAAGCGGAACCAGATTGAGATGAATCAGAACAGACACAGCAGTAGAAGCTGCTACAACAACTGACTTGTGCTTGGGTCAGTTGTTGTAGCAGCTTCTACTGCTGTGTCTGCTCTGATTCATCTCAATCTGGTTCCGCTTCTAAGTCCCGCCTCAAGAAGGCCTTGACTGAATTTGTATCCTTTACATTAAGTTTTTCTTTATCCAGTTTCAAATTGCTATCATTTCTTTAATAAATTAAGTTATTTATAACATAATAAGCGTTAATATTATTTAAGTAACATTTGACAATTGAACCATCGTTTATTGTAATTCTTATTCGTCAACCGGTTCTTAAATTTGTTCTATCTTTTCTTCTTCTATACATTTTTTTGTTTCAATATCGTATATTTTTTCATTGGGACACAATTTTGTTATGACCATCCCATGATCGCAAAGCAAATACTTTCGCCGGTAAGTCGGATGGGCATACCGTCGAACATCTTGGGCGCCACAAAAAACACCAAGTTTATTAGCTGAAATTAAGAAAATAATTTTTATTAAATATTATATTTCACATTATAGTCATATCGGAATTAAAGAGGTTGTCTCATTTACAAGTCGGTAATGGCAACACATTTCATGCGATGATGGGTGTATTAAATTTATTTGGTGTTTTTGGAAACATGTTTAATGTAAACATAGTATAAAATTACAAATGCTAACAATTATTTACATTAGAAACAAATTGGGAAGACAAACAATTGAATTCGTTTCAAAATGTAAAATAATATGACAATGGCACATTTTTTTTTAAATCTAAATCGTTTTTTAAGTTAGCGATTTTTTTTTCGGAAAGTTAGCAACAGTGCTGTCAACTTTAATTTAGACTTTTCATTCATAGTTTTGCATTTTAATTTTATCGATATTTGTCGGCAACTAAGAAAATGAGTTAGAGAATCCCACCTTAAACTTATATTATGTTTGCATCAGATCATTTTGCAAGTATAACCTTCTATGCATGACAAAATTACAAATGTAACATTTTTTTATTCGATGTCCACCAAGTGTCAAATTTGGTGGAAATTTGGTGAAATCTGGTGGAAAGAAATTTATTTTTTTTTTCGAGCAAATGTTTTGTCATTTTCACAACTTTTAGAAGGCACACAAATAAAGAGGAATCTACAGGTTGAGATGAAAAAACTGCAACCAAATTCAGACTGCTGTCATTTCTAAGCCACTAGTCCGACATCTGTTAGAATTCTTATATTGTTTAAAAGCGTATAAAAGCATTTTGGTGAAAACTTTCCAGAAAATGTTATTCGTGAAGGAATTCAAGCGTGATAGTGTGATTTCTTTATATTTGGCTGAAAAACCACAAGCGGCCATCGTTAGAGCATTTAAATGTGAATAAATCTTTTGTGTCTCGTACCATCGCTCGGTACCGTGATACTGATACTGGTAGCGTAGCCCGACATCAAGGAAGCAACATCAGCAGACATGGTTCGAAAAGTAAAGAAGCGACTTTATCGAAACCCGCGTCGCATTGGTCGAAAACATTCGTTGCCCAACGTTTTGTAAATAAAACCAGTAAAGAAAGTCTTAAAGTCGGGCGGGGCCGACTTTATGATACCCTACACCACTTTGTTATCAAAGGTTTTTCTGATATTCTCCGGAATATCTTTACTATGGAGTCCATATTACGGCTATGCGGGGAAAATTCAACAAATCGGATAAACAATATGTATGGGAGCTATAGCTATATCTGAACTAATTTTCACCAAGTTTGACATACTGGTTTCTAGACTCAATTTCGTCGTAAGTACCAAATTCCATTCCATTTGGGCTAATATTACACGTTTGGTGCACAATGAAAGGCAAATCGGACGAAGATATATATATATATATATATATATATATATATATATATATATATATATATATATATATATATATATATATATATATATATATATATATATATATATATATATATATATATATCTATATATATAAAAGAAAGTTGTGTTAGTTACTACGCTTATAACTTAAGAATCGCTGGACTGATTTTAACGATTCACACAAATTCGGAATTGTCTCCTCTCCGAAAAGGATAATATCCAAAAAAATCACGTAAAAATGTGATATATTAACATTTTCATTTTGACTTTTGAAATGTACAATAGTAATGTTTTATTTTGCATGATTTTTTTCCATTTTGACTTACTTTTTTCTAATGTACATTTGTAGTGTTTTTTTTATTTTATTTTTGAATTTTTATTTTGAATTAATTGACTTGATTTCTTGAGAACTGATATTGATGGCGGGTTACATGGAAGTGTAGTGCCGAATTATGTGGTGGCGAAATGGAATATCGAAATAATTGAACGCGGTCACACCAAAGTTAAAGATAATTACTTTTTCAAAATCGCTAAAAAATCACAAAAAAGAGATCTCATTGCAAAAATTCTCAAATCGGAAAAAAATCTAAAAAAAAATCATTGGAATCGAATTTAAAAATAATAGTACATTCTATTGACAATCTTTACAAGGATCTTTAAACATTTGCTGTAAAAAATCAGCGAACAAGTTGAAGATTTTTTCAATTTGTATTATCTTATTGAATTCAATGGAATTTTTTGTGAACAAAATAAAGAATAATTTTTCAATCTATATAATTTTTACCAAAAAATTAAATAAGTGCGAAATACTATGTAAACTGACATCTACCTTTCAATTCCAGGGCCTACACCGTTTTTCAGCTGGAAGATGCGAACACATTTAAACAAACAAAAATGACCGAAAAAAACCTAATGGGGCTCATTTCAAAGCCTGGGCCTATTTCTTTCATGTGACAATAATCCGTCCAATGAGAGCTCAAAATGCAAAATTCTTTGGGAGTGCAATCATTAAAATACCAAATATAAAGGGTGCAAAATAGTAGAGCGAATGGGACTTTTAGTAAGAAAAGGATTTCTATCCTTTCCAAACATTCAAGATACCTTAAATCGCTTTTGCAGGTCATGATATCGATCATAATTCTCGGATAAGGGTACAACCCTATTTAACCCATATTTATATAACCTCCGTATGATTTAAGATATTTTTGCGGTCTTGGCCACTTTTTTCTTTGTTTGGCCCTTATTTGGCATCTTTGTTTCTAAGGGGTAGAGAACCTCTTCGCATAAAATTTGAAATTTTCAGAATAAGGTCAATATTTGTCTTGACCACATTCATCAATTGATTTGGCTAAAAAATTGTATTTATGCTACCCTGGGGTGGGGAACCATCATACAGAGTGCCACATAGGAATTTATTTAAGTAAAGTCCCCATATTGGAGTATCCCCAAGTCCACTTTCACATCTAATGTGTGGTCAGAAAAGAAAATATTGTATTCTATTGAATTTGTGACCCCCAGGAGAATATTGGTTAGGAACGTATATTTGGGATGTAGATCTATATGAAATAATTTGTGAAAACATGAACAAATTACAAATATAAGAAAGTAGCGCGGGACCAAATATTTGCTGAGTCGTCACTGAATTATACTATGATGAAAAATATGGTCTTTATGGGGTCTCCAACTTACAATTTAAATGGCAAATAAAATTAATTCCCACTTTACGGTAATGGGTGTAAAATAGTAATTATATTTGACTATTCTGAATCATTCTGTCCTCATTTATGAGGTGGATAAAACTATTTTTACTTATTTAAATCACTCGAATTTTTCAGTTTGACATGCTATGCTGTTCCGCTATATTTTTAATTTGGCCTCTATTTGTCACCTTGGATTATAAGAGGTAGAAGAAAGTTTTCAATGTAGGTCGGAGTAGTGCCCATATAAAGGTACCTCCTGATTTTACCATATTTCTAAGGATTTGGCTAAAAATGTGTATTTGCGGGGTGAAAATCTTACACAAACATTTCAAGATATCTACAAAATTTTAGAATTAAATATAGGCACAGGTATTTCAAAACACTTTTAATCGACCAGTACGTGAACACTTATATCAGTCATATCAGTGAATAATTATGCTTGGGAAAATATGCATAATAGACAAAAACTACGGGCCGGCAACGCGGACCGGGCCAGCTAGTATATATATATATATATATATATATATATATATATATATATATATATATATATATATATATATATATATATATATATATATATATATATATATATATATATATATATATATATATATATGGGAGCTCGGATGAACAATATATATGAGAGCTATATCTATATCTGAACCCATTTCGATCAAATTTGGCATACTTATTTTCAGGTCCAATCTGGTCGTACGTGCAAAATTCCATAATATTTGGGCTGATATTACACGTTTGATGTACAATATAAGGCAAATTGAACGAAAATATATATGGGCGCTTTACATAAATTTTGATCGATTATCTCTAATTTCAATTGGGTCAAACATAAAATTTGTTCAAAATTTTCTTCGGAATCGGGTAATAAATGCGACCTATACTTTGTTAACAAAAATACATGGACAGACAGATCATCAAAAGGAACTATGGGTCTATCTCGTTTCCTTTTGCCTGTTACAAACAAATGCACAAAGACATAATACCTTGTGGTGTAGGGTATAAATATTGGTACGTGCAAAATTTAAAGAAAATCGAACATTTATATTCAGTTTTATACAAAATCATAAATTCCGATTAATTACGTATTCATATCATATACCTGGCTAAGGGAAATGTTTAGATACAACAAGTTGTATACAATCGCCGAATTGTTTCGCATGTCATGACAGATATAAGTTATGGAAATTGTGACCCTTTGTGGTTGAGGTACCAGCAGGGGTTGTAAGATATACATCATCACCACAACAGATCTTGCGTTAGCAAATATTTTTGGATGTGTGAAATTTGAAGCGAGTTGGATGCTTATTGCGCTTTTTGTTTTTTAAAATGTTGAACCCTTTGTGGGGAAGTATCAGAAGGAGTGCGCCGATATATCACATTTCACACGGCAGATCTAGTGTTGGTACAAATAATTGTATGTGTGAAATTCGATGAGAACCGGATGCTTATTTCGGATTTTATGATCGTGTTGGCTATTCAAAATGTTGACTGTTTGTGGGGGAGGTACCAGAAGAAATTGTCCGATCTCCACCATATTTATAACAGATCTTGTGTTGATAGAAATATTGAGATTTGCCAAGTCTAAATAGAATTATTAATATTAATTTCGCGTTTTATATTAATTTCGCGTTTTTTAAGCTTCATGGACATTCAAAATTTCAACCCTTTGTGGGGGAGGTACCAGAATGAGGGGACCGATAAATCCCATCTTCACACCAAACCTTGAGTTAATAGAAAATAATGGGATGTGTGAAATATGAAGAGAACCGGATGCTTACTTCGGTTTAATTAACGTTTTCTTTATTTGAAGGACGGACGGACATCGCTATATCGACTCCAAATGTCCTAAAATGGATTTGGTTCAATAAGAACTGGGGTCTAAAAGCCTTATTTCGATAAGGCACGTTTTGGCCGTATCAAATGATATATACTCATATGGCTGAGGGTATAATTACATGATGTAATGTACAACGATTCCATTCAGACTCGGCACATCTCAATATTTCCCTCAACACAAGATCTGTTAAAAAGATGGTAGAGTTTGGACAATTCCTTCTGATACCTCCCCACAAAGAATCAACATTTTTTATAGATATAACTTTTATAAAATTTGAACTAAGAGCCTTTGCTTACGATGGAGGTTACAATAATTTCGACCCGACCGAACCTAATGTCGCTTTTGCCTTTTGTATTGTAAATCTGATTGAATAAACCCGACATATGCTAATAAATCCTAATCATGAGGGTAAATGTAAGTCGACTAGATCGAAAAGCCGGATCTATGTAGATCGGTATAAAGAAAGGTGTCCTCCGGGCAACTAAGACAAGTATTCTTAAGCGACGCTAAGACGGCTGCAGGTCATTTCAAACCTTTTACCAAAGCCAAAGTTGTGAAGCAACATCAAATTTTGCACCAGGACCAGTCTTGGTGGGATAAGGCTGGGTTCTTGGAAATTTGTACTAAAAGGGAACGAAAAGAACTAACAATTTAATACCTGTATTTAACAGAAGGAATGAGCTAGAATTCTAAAATTTATAACGAGAGTCACTGAAATTCGAACTTTAAGGTTAGAAAAAGTTCCAAAATGGTACTAAACTTCTAAAATGGTACCATTTGGTATTATATAAACTGATAGAACTTAAAATCTGAAATTTGGCATGAGAATCAATGTTGGAAAGTACGTTTGATATATAAAGGTGGTTTTGGAAATGTGTACCACAAGTGCACAAAAGTACAAAACAGTACTATACTGGTACAATTTGGTATTGGGTGAAGAGAGAGTGCTTGAAATCTGAGATTTTATATTAAGTCGCTGTGCATGTGTCGTCTGAAAATATGGAGGTCGTTTCGGAAATGTGTACTATCATTGTGCGAAAAGTACCAAATGGTACTATATTTGGTATTGGGCGAAGGGATTGCAAAAAAATCTGAACTTATATTATTGATGGTATCTGTGTTTGAGTTTTGGCGGTAGTTTGGATATGTCTCCTGTATTTGTACGAAAAGTACTAAATTTGGTATTGGGTGAGCTGAAACCGTGAGATTTTATACTGCAATTACTGTTGATGTCTTGCATGGTGGTACATCTCTCCATGTTTATTGTTTATGTTGTTTATGATATACGTACTAAATGTCACTAAATTTAATGTTGGGTGAAGAGATAGAGCTAACATTTTATATCGAAAAGTTGAAACAAAAATTGAAGGAGGTCCATTGCTTAACAGTCTCAACAATATTCTCCTCGGCAAACGATTTTGAATCTTTGGTGTAAGAGTTAAATATTTTCCTATTATTCTTTCAGAAAAAGGTAAAACTGGAATAATAAACACAAATGAGCGATATGAATCTGATCGGAGATTTGAGATTTGACAAGGTAAATTACAGAAAATGCAGAGTTGGATTTTATTATTTGAAATCAAATTATCTTGAATTGATTATACCATGACTACTTTAGTGACCAGGATGAAAAACAGAAGTTGAGAAATGAAGTTCGAAATAGACAAAAATCATGGGCAACTGCACTACACCCAACAAATCTAAATTTCAGTGCAGAGCTGGAGAATTCAAAGGTAATCTTTATGCCATGACCTAAATTTGATTTGTACAGATTAGTTTACATCATTGCAGGACGACAACCTCATAATTGTATAGACATAACCTGTTCCCTGTTTTTCATTTATATGTACATACCATTTTCGATTTTTTTCGAACGTTTTACAGCGCTCCTAACAAAATCCCCCTGGTCAATATCACTCGATGATAGACACCTTCTTCTGCGTATACTGTACTTGGAATCACCCAAACAAGACTCAATCTCTGTGGATCCATTAAGGCAGCTTAAATAATGGCCATTTGAAAATGGATATATAAATCTACCATTCCAATTGGAGGGACATTCGACAAATGTAATATCTGAAATTCGGAATATTTACTTCAAAACAACATCACAATATTGATCAAACTGCTTCGGCATTACTTTCGATTTTAATTTCCCTTTCCATGTCAGCTATCCCTTGAGAGAGGGGAATGGCTGTGTCGAATGAATGATGATAATCCTTGGTGTCACAAATATTCCGTGATAAACTAAAGAGAAGACCACTTCGACATGATTTAATCAAAAGTTTTCCATCGGAGCACTTGATATAGTGTCGGTTGCTGAATGGATGCGGAAATGCTCCCCAAACATCGTAAGGGCAAACGATTTTGTATGGTTCCACTTTGGGAGAACCTGTAAGAGATAAATAAAATTAATAAAAAAAAAAAACAAGTAAAATAGTATCAGTCGGTTTTGCCGACAGATGTATACCCCATCCTTGAGTTATGATTATTCTAACTTTTAACGATTTATGAGGGAGGTTCCGAAGCAATTGGCCAATTCGTATCTGACCTAAGACTGATATAAATATTACAACGTGCCAGATTTGGACTATATCGACTATTTCCTATACTTTATATGAGATATGTGCAAATTTTTGGAAAATGTGGAAATGTGAGTGAGGTAACAGATATAGTGGGCCGAAGTATTCCATTTTCATACTTCATCTAATACAGATATAAATATTGGTATGTGTAACATTTGAAGGAAATCGAACTTTTTATATCGAATTTTAAGGGAAATTATAAATTTCGATAAATTACATATTCATATCAGAATTCCGGTTAAGAGAAATATTTAGATATAGCAAGTTATAAAGAATTGCAGACATGTTTATGTCTGACATGCAAGTTATGACAGATTGGAAATTCTGAACCTTTTTGGTTGAGGTACCAGCAGGTGTTGCCAGATATATATCATCATCACAACAGATACTGCGTTAGCAAAAAAATTTGGATTACTTTCTTCGAGCGTTTTGACCCGGACCGGAATAAATGGTCCGATCTCTATCACCTTTATAACAGATTTTGTGTTGATGAAAATATTGAGATGTGTCAAATCTGAATGGAATCGGATGTTAATTTCGTGTTTTATGATTTTCATGTATATTCAAAATTTTGACCCTTTGTGGGGGAGGTACCAGAAGGATATATTCCATCTTCGATATATTCCATCTTCACACCAGACCTTGGTTTAATAAAAATATTGTGATGTGTCTAATTTGAAGACAATCGGATTCTTACATCACATTTTATAAGAGTTATAATTATTCAAAATTTTGACCCTTTGTGGGGGCAGCACTTGATGGAGTAGGCCGATATTATCCATTTTTGCACCTGACCGAGAACTGAGGCAAATATTAGGATTTACAAAGTTAGAGCAAAATCGGATTACAGTTTCTCTTTTCTGTGCAAAAGAAATATTTTTTGAAAATTTCAACCTTTTGTGGGAAGGCACCAGAAGGAGTGGACCGGATCGGGAACATATATCACATTTTATAAAAGTTATAATTATTCGAAATGTTGGCCCTTGTGGTGGGTGGTACTGTATGAAGTGGACCGATATTGCCCATTTTCGCACCTGACCTTGCATTGATGGAGCAATATCGGGCTATCCTTCATCTTTCTGTGGAGAAAATTATTTTCTTTGAAAATGTTGACATTTTGTGGAGAACCAGAAGGAGTGGATCGATATTGCCCATCTCCGAACTCGATCTAAGTTTGACAATAATATAATGATGTACCATGTTTGGATCAAATCCGATACTCTTTTCGAAAGCTATCGTGCCAGACGGACAGACGGACATCGCTAGATCGACTCCAAATGTCCTGAAACGGATTTGGTCAAAAGACACCTATAGTCTAAAACCGTTATTTCGATGAAGCACGTTTATACCAAATGGTATATACCTTCTGTAGCCATATAGCTGAGGGTATAAAACTCTGACCTAAAACTTAATATTTGTGTCTGTGCTAGGTCAGGTGAAAAAATAGACAATATAGGGCCACACCATCAAGTACCTCTCCCCCAAAATGTCAAAATTTGACAAATTATAACTCTGTGATGTAAGGGTTAGATTGTCTTCAAATTACACCCATCACAATATTTTTTAAACCAATGTCAGATGTGAACAGAGAGTATATCGGTCTGCTTCTTCTTGTACCTCCCCCACAAAGGGTGAACATTTTGCATATCCATAAGGATCATAAAAATATTTCCATCAACACTAGATCTGTTATAAAAATGGTATAGATCAGACCATTCCTTCTGATACCTCCCCCATAAAGGGTTAAATTTTTGAATAACCAAAACTATTACAAAATGCGAAATAAGCATCCGGTTCTCTTCATATTTCACACAGCCAATTATTTCTAATAACACAAGATCTGCTGTGAAGAAGTAACCAATATAGTCCAAACCTGGCACGTCGCAATATTTATATCATATTAATTTAGGTCCGATACGAAATGGACAATATTGACCCATTCTTTCGGAACCTACTCCATAGAGGGTCAACAATGTGAATAATCATAACAGAAGTCAAAATATATTTAAATAATCGAACATTGACTGAGGGTATACATCTGTCGGCAAAACCGACTGATACGTTTTAACTTGTTAGGTTGTATGGTAATAGAATTTAATTATTTTTATTTTCTACTCACCCTTTCTATACGTATTCTGATTACATCGAACGTTATACTTGTGATCACATGTTTGCAAATCCCTATTGAAATCTGTTCCCTTGGGACAATGACATTCGAACGATCGCCCCGAACCACATGATAGGTACATTGAACAATCTAACGGGTGTGGATGTATCCCAGGATTATTGGAGCAAAATTTACTTGTTATTATCTCTGGGTCGGTCTGAAGGCAGTTCGATGTATTTTCGTTGTTATTTTGAATAGTTGCAGTTCCACTGTTTTGGTTGTCCCAACCGCTGAACCGATTGTAATGGGTTTTAAGTGAGAAATTGGGTGCATAAGTAGTAATCGGATTCGGCGTACCGATGCTTGGACTATTATGCATACGACGTGTCTGAGTGTTATCGATAAATCCGTTGCTGTGACTTCGTAAATATGGGTTTTGATCGGAATTATATTCTGTAGCTGGATGGGTTCGATTTGGCATATATTTATGTAAGTTGGTTATATCAATCTGTGGATCTATGGAAATACTATTTAAATCAGGATTAATGTTAAATCCATTGCTTCCTTTTTCCACATTCGGAAATATATTGTTTTCCATGGAGCCAGTGTGGATATTTGTGAACGAATACGGATTTGTGCCAAAGTTTATATTCGGATTTTCAAAAATATTTGGTTCTAATGTTGCTGTTCCGTACTGATTGCTTTGACTGAGTCCGGCAGGTACTTCAGTAGTAGGCGGATAATTATTATCAGGGTTAATGTTAAATCCAGAGCTTCCTTGTTCCACATTAGGTAATATATGATTTTCCATGGACCCAGTGTGGGTATCTGCGGACGAATACGGATTTATGTGAAATTTATTGTACGGATTTTCAAAAATCCTTGGTTCGAATGTTGCTGTTTCATACTGATTGGTTTGACTAAATCCGGGGGGTACTTTAGCAGTAGGCGGATAATTATTAAATGGATTTAATGGTAATTGATCCGTAGGTGCTTGATAACTTGTTTGATATTGCATTTGTGTGTTCTGGTTCACCTTATTTTGCTGTGTTGGCCATTGAGATTCGGAAAATTGATGTTGATATTGTTCTCTGTGATATCCGCCATTGTAGAAGTTTTGTTGCTGCTCCTGTTGCTGTATAGTTCCATGTATTGGGTATGGGTACCTATTGTGTATATGATACACTATTTGTTGTTCCCTTTGTCCTTTCCAAGGTATGTGAGAGGCATAGGTCTTAAAACAAAAACAAGTTAAAATGCAGTAAGTTCGGCCGGGCCGAACTTTTAATACCCTCCACCGTTTTCAACGAATTTGGAAATTTTTAAAAAATAAAATCCTTAAAAAATTCTGTTAAAATTTTAAAAATACCGAATATAGCCGTTATATTGGGGTCTATACGACGTGGACATACATAGGCATTGTTTGTCATAAGCCATTACCATATTCAAATTCGAAACTTGAAATAAACGGCGAATAATGTAGCTAAAATCATCAAAATATCGTATATAAGGAGGTGCCGTTAAATTGGAGCTGTGCGAAGACCTGGACCAGCATAGACAATTTTCTGTCACAGGCTGTAGCATCTATTACGAACTTCAAATACCACATCTCAAACAACTTCAGTGGGTATTGTACCTAAAATCGTCAAAATACCGAATATAGGGAGGTACTGATATATGGGGCCTATACGAAGACCTGGACCAGCACAGACAATTTTCTGACTGTAGTTCCTATAACGAACTTCAAATACCAATTTTGAAACAATTCCGGTGAATAATGTCGCTAAAATCATCAAAATACCGAATATAGGGAGGTACCGTTATATGGGGGCTATACGAAGACGTGGACCTGCACAGACAATTTTCTGTCTTAGGGTGTAGTATCCACTTTGAACTTCGAATACCAAATTTGAAACAATTCCCGTGAATAATGACGCTACAATCATCGAAAAACCGAATATCGGGAGGTACCGTTATATCGGGGCTATACGAAGACGTGGATCTGCACAGACAATTTTCCGTCTTAGGGTATCCATTTTGAACTTCAAATACCAAATTTGAAACAATTCCCGTGAATAATATCGCTAAAATCATCAAAATATCGAATATAGGGAGGTATCGTTATATGGGGGCTATATGAAAACGTGGACCTACATGGCCCATATACGAACTTAACCTGCCTACTGGAAAAATAAACATGTGTGCAAAACTTTAGCCATCTATCTCAATTCATTCGAAAGATAGCGTGATTACAACAGACAGACAGACAGACGGACGGACACCGCTAAATCGACTTAGAATTTTACGCTGATCAAGAATATATATACTTTGTTGGGTCTGATATGAGTATTTCGAGGAGTTACAAACGGAATGACAAAGTTAATATACCCTCCATAGTATGGTGGAGGGTATAATAATAGGAATAAATAGAATATAAAATTTTAAATTCGCATGGAAATTAGTCCTTTAGACGAAAAACTTGTACCTTTTAGTAAATGGGGTAAACTTTTAATGTTCTATAAGCTGCCAATGTTATCTAAAAAAAACAGTAAAAACAGTCTTAAAGTCGGCCGGGGCATAAAGATATATATGGGAGCTATATCCAAATCTAAACCGATCTTGATAAAATTTGGAAAAGATATTTCTGAGCTGTATTTCATATATTTCCCTGAATATTGTTGTTACGGAGTGCATATTACGGCTGTGGGTAACAAATATAACAAATCGGATGAACAGTATAATATGGGAGCTATAGCTATATCTGAACCGATCTTCACTAAATTTGACATACTAGCTTCTAGACTCAATTCGGTCGTATTTGCCAAATTCCATCCGGTTTGGACAAATTTTAGACGTTTGGTGCACAATAAAAAGTAAATCGGACGAAGTTATATGTGGGAGCTATATCCAAATCTGAACCGATCTCGATAAAATTTAGCAAAGGTATTTCTGAGCTGTATTTGATATATTTCCCCAAATATTGTTGTTACAGAGTGCATATTACGGCTGCGGAGGACTAAAATAACAAATCGGATGAACAATATATATGGGCGCTATGGCTATATCTAAACCGATTTCGATCAAATTTGGCATACTTATTTTCAAACATAATTTGGTTGTATGCGCAAAATTCCATACTATTCGGGCTGATATTACACGTTTGGTGCACAATAAAAGGCAAATCGGACAAAGATATATATGGGAGCTATATCTAAATTTTTACCGATTATCTCTAATTTCAATAGGGTTCGTCCCAGGGCCAAACAAATGATTTGTGCAAAATTTCATCTGGATAGGGCAATAAATGCGAACTGTACTTTGTTTACAAAAATACATGGACAGACGGACATGCTTAAATCGACTCAGAATGTGATTCTATGCAGATCATCAAAAGGAGCTATGGGTCTATCTCGTTTCCTTTTGCCTGTTACAAATAAATGCACAAAGACACAAATGTAAACAATCGTCCCGAAATTCATTCCATTTGGGCCGACCGATCTCAATAAAATTTGCAAAGGTATTTTCGAGCTCTATAAGATATCTGGTGTTTTAAAAGAATAACAAGAGAACCGTTGGCATTACGCTGTCACCTTGACAAACGAAAACAATTGTTTTTATTATTTTAAAATTGGAATTTGTAGGTCATAGTAGGTTCTAGCTCCGGTAGCGAAATATTGTATGTATAGGTCCACGTTTTTGTATAACCCCCATATAACATTATCTCCCGATATTCAGTATTTTGATGATTTTTGCCATATTTTCCCATGGATTCGTCCAAAAATTGGTATTTGTAGATCAAGGTGGGTTCTAATTTCGATGGCGGGAGATAGTAATATAGGTAAACGTTTTTTATAGCCCCCATGAAACGGTAACTCCCAATGTTCGGTATTTTGATGATTTTTGCCATATTTTTTCACGGATTTGTCTAAAAATTGGTATTTGTAGTTCGTAATGGGCTCTAGCTCCTGTGGCGGAACATAGTATTTATGGGTCAACGTTCTTGTATAGCCCCCATATAAAGGTACCTCCCGATATTCGGTATTTTGATGAGTTTTGTCATATTTTAAAAGGATTTGTATTGGCATTTGTAGTTGACAATGAGTTCTAATTCGGTGGCAGAACATTGAATGTTTAGGTCCACGTTTTCCTATAGCGCACATATAACGATACCCACCGATATTAGATATTTTGATAATCCTAGTCACATTTACCCACGAAATTGTTTCAAATTTGGTATTTCAGAAGATTTGGTAGATGACAATCCTTGAAGTGGAAAATTGTCTACAGAGGTTCCCGTTTTTGTATGGCCCCCATATAACGGCATCACTCACTTTATGGTTTTTTAAAATGTTTAGTTCAAAGTGGAACACGTTTGAATTCAGACACTTTTTATAAAAAAAAAAATTTCTTTACCCAAAAGGTGAAGGATATTAAAAGTCCTGCCCGGCCGAACTTATTTTTTTACTACATTTTTTTTTTTTAAATCAAATAAATAATAAAAATTGTTGAATCACACATTGCCGATGTATCAGCCAGATCATACAAAAAATATAAATGTTCAATTGCTTATTTACATATGCACATTTTACTTATGTATATATGTACATAATCGTTTTATGGACATAACACTGCAAATATTTCCAAAATCACCAACCTCTTGGACACGAAACTGCCAAATCACAATAGCAAATATTTGAACGTAAAAGAAAATATACATTTCTTTTCTAATCATTTGAAGTGCCATCAATGAAGATCAGATCCACACACGCACACACACGACACTTTAAAAACCCATATCCGATATTAAATCGATCGCAATAAAATTCAAGAGCAGTTGCTGTCTGCAACATGGTCTGCTGCAGAATGAGCAAAGATAAAACCTTTAAACAATCGATGAGGTCTATAAATACGGAAGCTTTATTTAATTGTTTTTCTTTTTTCGCAATGTGCACAATATTGTTGCGGGTATATTAATTCTATCAATCCATTTGTAACACCTAGAAAAAAAAACGCTTCCAAAAATGTATAAAATATATAACACTGTGCAACAAAATTATTATTTATTTTTTTTTTTTTTTCAATAAAAATTATGAAAGTAGAGCTAAAAGTAGAAGACGCGTGAACAAGCGTTTTGAAATATCCCCAGTTTCCACACTTGTTATACCCTGCACTATAGGGTAGAGGATATATTGAGTTTGTCATTCCGTTTGTAACACCTCGAAATAAACATTTTAGACCCCACAAAGTATGTATATTCTTGATCAGCATAAAATTCTATGTCGATTTAGCTATGTCCGTCCGTCCGTCTATCAGTCTGTGGAAATAACTTTAGCTTCCGAACAAAACGAAGTAGGTTGATAAAATCTTACTCAAATGTATATTATGTCTGCAGGACTTTTGGTATTGAAAATGGGCCATGTAGGTCCATGTTTTCGTATTGCCCCCATATAACGGTACCTCCCGATATTCGGTATTTTGATGATTTTAAGCGACATTATTCACCGGAATTGTTTCAAAATTGTTATTTGAAGATCGTAATGGATACTACAGCCCATGACAGAAAATTGTCAGTGCAGGTCCACGCTTTCGTATAGCCCCTATATAACAACACCTCCCGAAATTCGGTATTTTGATGATTATTCACCGGAATTTTTTGAAATTTGTTTCAAATTTAGTATTGAAAGATCTTAATGGGTACTGCAATTTATGGCAAAAAAAATCGTATACAGGACCACGTCTTCATATAGCCTCCATATGACGGTACCTCCCGATACTCCGTATTTTCATGATTTTTGCAACATTATTCACCGGAATTGTTGCAAATTTCGTATTTGGAGTTCGTAATGGGCACTACAGCCTATGACAACAACTTTCGTATGCAGGTACACGTCTTCATATAGGCCCCATATAACGGTTTTCATTTAAGAGGTATTTTTCGGAATTTTTTTGAAAAATTTCAATTTCCTTCGAAATGGTGGAGGGTATTAAAAGTTCGATCCGGCCGAACTTAGTTGCTTTTTCACTTTTTTTTTTTTGCGTTGCACAGTGTAACGAAGTGCTTAACATTTTGCGCATGGTGATCTCATTGATTTTGATTGAGAACCCGAAATGACACATATTGCTATGGTGTGTCATTTTGGGTTCTCAAACATAATGTTGATAGCTATAATAAACAACAGGAAATAAGAAAATAATTTATTGTTAACTGATAACTAGGTACAATGAATACAAGGTATGATAAGTTTGTCCTACCGTACGAGGGGGGTTGGTCACCATTATATGGGGCCTATACCAAAACGTGAACCTGCCCATTACGAACTTCAAATACCAAATTTGAAACAATTCCGGTGAATAATGTCGCTAAAATCATCAAAATACCGAATAACGGGAGGTACCGTTATATGGGGGGTATACGAAGATGTGGACCTGCAGAGACAATTTTCTGTCATAGGCTGTAGTATCCATTTCGAACTTCAAATAACAAATTTGGAAAAATTCCTATGAATATTATCGCTAAAATCATCAAAATACCGAATATCGGGAGGTACCGTTATATGAAAAATTTTAAGGTGCGAATACCAAAAAATGAAAGAATCAAGCCGCAAAAATGGTGTGACACTGTATTTCTTTCTATGGACTTGGGCCTATCCATGAAATAAAGGAAGTTATAGATCGGTTTGTATACAAAGATGTGTTGGAAATCACGTTGTTCCCTTTCGCTGAGGAAAATATTCACCTTATTTGGGTGTTTCAGCATGACAATGATCCAAAACATGCATCAAAAGTTGTCAAAGATTGGTTGCGGGAGTCAAAAATCGGTGTTTTGTCATGGCCGGCACAATCATCTGACCTAAACCCCATAGAAAATCTTTGGAGTATCGTAGACAGGAAGATCAAGCGAGATTCGGAAACAAATTAACCAAAGAATTCAGGGTGCCTGGGAAAGCATTCCCAAGGATCAAATTGAGCGTGTTATAGATTCAATGGCTCGTAAGTGTGCAGCTGTTATCAAAAATAATGGTTATGCTAACGACTACTACCGAAATTTAATTATTTTAAAATAAAAAATTAAAAAGTTGCTTTAGTTTTGACCAGGCAAAAATTGGGCCATTTTAGTTATCCATATATTATTTTTCATTCAAAATCATTTTTGTATTTTTATTTTTAATTTTTTAAAAGTGAATATAGTATCTCATTTTAAAGTGGAAAAATAACTACGATTTGTTTATTTCCGTAAAAGTTACACGGCATTTGTTGTCTTTGCGATTTTGGTTGCTTTAGTTTTGGCCACCAGTGTAACTACATATAAGCACAATATATTGTGTATTGAGATTAATATATGCACTCATATTTGGGTTTTGTTAAAAGACAATTTACCATTTTGACAAAGCTTAAGAATATGAAGATGTCTCCTGAATTCTACAGACTAAGACTGATTTCATAACACATGATAGTACCTATAAATTGTAAAACAAAAAAAAAATATGCAATATCTTCTTCTCCTTTATGATCTTTGGATATTGAGAACATATAAACGTTTATATTTATACTCCAGCTACTTAATTACCGATACATTGAAAAATGCGATCAACTGGCACGAAACTGTTTCATCAAAAAAATCTATAAGCAAGCCGTTATTGATTGCCTCATTAATAGATAAACAGTAATACATACATATATACATCTATAGAAAATTTCAATGTTTGGCAATTAATTTGCCATTGATTAAAGCGTTGATGCAATTGGTGATGGTTTAATTAAAAAAAAAAAGTTTATTATAACAAACATTCACTTATTTTTTGCACATTTTTACAGTTTCTTTTTTGGTGACGCTTCATTTTCCTTAGAAGATGTTTTATTTGATGTTAGTGCATCGGATATAACACCTTGGGCAGTAGACGGTTTCTTTTCCAATCCTATGCGTTGTTTTGTCCTCAGCCATAAATGTTGATAGGGATTTTCTAATTCATTCTTGGTTTTTGGTATACCCAGAGCCCGTTTGACACTAGGCGATGCCAAGGCTAGATTTTGTACCAAACCATAGGTAGATGAAGCTACCCAATAAACAGTGAGACCAGATGGTACCGCACATGCTACAGGAATCATGCATATACTAAGGCCTCGGAATACATTGCTAATTATGTTTTGAAAACGTGTTGTGGGGCGATTTTTTAACATGGTTTGTATCTGAAAGAAATGTGTAAAAGAAATACATATTTATTAATTGTAGAATACATGTCTTAGGCTTCAATAAAATTTGGTACTGTCTACATAAGAAAATATCAAATGTATAAAAACGCCATTTTTATCGCATTTACAATACAATCCGAAATTTTTATAATATACTGAGCTTAAAAATAAATATTTGTTTTTGTTGCCTGAAATCCCTGCTAAACAGTAGCTTTTTGTTGCAGCCTTGCATTGCTATTTTGTGTTAGCTGATGATTTCAAATAGCATTAGCTCACTTCGCTAATTTTTATACCCTACACCACATTGTGGTTAGGGTATTATGTCTTGCATTGCATTTGTTTGTAACATGGAGAAGGAAGCGAGATAGACCCATAGTTACTTTTGAGTATCTTCATAGAATCGCTTTCTAAGTCGATTTATGCATGTCAGTCCGTCCGTCCGTCCATATATTCTTGTGAACAAAATGCAGGTCGCATTTATTATCCGATTGAGATGAACTTTTCTAAACAATATTTCTTTGACCCTATGACAAAACCTATTGAAAGTCCAAAAGTCCTGAATTTTGGGACATTCGACCGAATTTAGTCTAGAAGCAAGTACATCAAATTTGGAGAAAATTTGTTCAGATATAGCTATAGCTCCCATGTATAAGTCTCATCAGATTAGAATGAATCGTGCGTAATATGCACTCCACAAGAATGATATTTGGTACCGGACATCAGATACTGCTCGAAAATGTCTCTGTCAAATTTTATCGAGATCGGCTCAGATTACATACATATTTTTATCCGAAATTAGGATTATTGTGCACCAAATGGCTAATATCAGCACAAATGAACTGAATTTTTGTAATTGCAACTGAACTCATCTTAGAAACCAGAACTTCAAATTTTGTGTAAATCGGTTCAGATGTAGCCATAGCTCCCATATTTATGTTTTATCCGATTTGGGGTTTAAAGTCCTTTACAAGCGCAATATGCATTCCACAATAATGATCTTTGGTACCACTTATTAAATACAGCTCTTTAATAAGTGTATCAAATTTTACCAAGATCGGTTCCGATTTCGATACAGCTCCCATATATATCTTCAAGCGATTTCGTGTTAATCATGCACCAAATAACCAATATCAGCCCAAATGACCTGAATTTTAGCATATCTGGTCGTATTCAGTCTAGAAGTAAATTAAATTTGGTGAAAATAGGTTCAGATAAAGCTATAGCACCCATATATATGTTTCATCCGATTTGGTGTTTAAGTAGCTCACATTCGTAATATGCATTCGACAAAAATGATGTTGATAGAGCTCAGAAATACCTTTGCTAAATTTTATCAAGAACGGCTATGTTTTGGATATAGCTCCATATACATCCTTAATCCGATTTCAGATGAATTTCGGGACGTACCTTACCGTTTTGTTTTGCTCCTACATATATTTTAATATAATACTTCTCGAAGTGATATCCTATACTCTATAGCAATGTTATTTGGTATAAAAGATTAAAATGTCTCCGTCAAAATTAGTGAAAATCGATTCAGAAGCCTCCTATATATTAGTTTCCTCTGAAACCAAACAATAACTGCTCTAAAGCCAAATGTTGATAGGTGGAAGGATCTACTTCATATAAATTCTTTTTTTACGGGAGCTCTACTAAATATGCATGGTGGTGTAGGGTATCATATAGTCGGTCCCGCCCAACTTAGGACTTTTCCTTACCGGTTTTAATAATTCTTTCCTGTCACAGATCCCTGATTTATTTGCCATCCGCCAAGGTGCTAAGGTTTCTTTAAAACATTGCTGTGATTAATATTAAAATGTTCATATAGTCGGTCCCGCCCAACTTAGGACTTTTCCTTACCGGTTTTAATAATTCCTTCCTGTCACAGATCCCTGATTTATTTGCCATCCGCCAAGGTGGTTTCTTTAAAACATTGCTGTGATAAATATTAAAATGTTCCCCTTAAAAACAACTAAAGTTTATAATAACCAAACAAGCAAGCCAAACACTGTTCTGTTTATAATAACCCATTATAATAAATCATAAATGTTCCGAACAAATGAAACATATCGTTGAAATCAGTATAATAACGGTTTGGGAAATACTCTTCCAAAAGGAACTTACCTCAATGATACCCAAATTTATTAAACCTAAAGCCACAGGCAATATATATGAACTATCAACTACGCTTAAATTTGGAATCCATCCAAAACCACCGATTGTCATTTCAGTTACAACAATTTGAGCCTGAAGCGATGTGGGATCTGGCATCATATTGATCATATTACGTAAAGCCATTGATTGGAAGATCCACAACGGTATTTGGGCCCACAGAACAATAAACGTTTTTGCAGGATGGCAATTATCTCGCACTATTAGATTAGTCCATTGCTTGTGGATCTGAAGGAGAAAAAAGAATATTGTTACTTTTGCACCGGATAGTCAAATGAAAATAAACAATGAAATGCTAAAATATAATCTAAAGTTCAAAGAAATTAAAAGTTAATATTTACCGATCTTTGATAGACAAGTTTAGTCTGCTGTTCGGTCCATTTGAATTTCTTCATAGCCATTGCAGCTTCCTTTTTCAATTCTTCGACAATGGCGGGCATTTCCAGGGATATTTTTTCAAGGCGTGCTGTGATTTTGTGTTGATAAACTGTCAGAGGTAGTGTCACTAAGCTACGAAATAGGAACGTAGACGCCACTATCGACAACCACCAGGGTAAACCAGTAAAATCGTGGATTTCTATTAGACCCTGTTGCATGTACGCCACTGGCGTACTTGACGATAGCGACTGATAGACACTGGCAAAAAATCCTGGATCAATGGCAGGAAGTGCCGTGTCAACGACCGCGCTTGCTGCAGTGGAATTGTAACGTTTAAAGCAGTTACCATTTCGTCGTTTATTCCTATCCGATTCAGCCAATTTCCATTTGTTTGTCGTTTGCGTCACACATCCATAATTTCGCTTCACTTCGAAAACAGCCCGACTAAGAGGAATTGCATTACCGGAGTATAATTTTTTATGTGTTTTTATAATAGGAAACAATAAGCGATTCATTGCTAATTAATTTTTGGCTTAAAATTAATCTTTTAATTCATATTATAATAAAATAATCAAATATCGGTCGGTACTGTATAAAATAAAAACAATAACAATACATAACGATTAGTTCAATGCAGTTATTCACTGAAAGGGAGCAACGAAATAGTATCAGCACCAAGGCATCAGCACCATCGATTCTCAAAGCGCCTTGTTTCAATTATGCTATGTTCTTACCATGGTAGAAAAATATAGGTAGATGCATCAACGCTTGATATGTCAAACATTTTTAAATTTCTTTTCAAATATAAGTAGATTTTTATATGTTTTCTTATACGAAGTCATTCGGAGGTTATTGTAAAATGCCTTTTTCAACAATTTTTACAAATTTAAATAATTTTTCATTCAACATTTTCAATTGAATTATTTCAATTTCAAATATTGGTTTGACAGTTCATTGCCCCAGCAGCTGCGTCGATGCGTCTACCTATATTCTTCTACCATGATTCTTACCATCGACACAGCTGCTGGGACAATGAACTGTCAAACAATATTTGAAATTGAAATTATTCAAATTCATTAAAATTGTTGAAGGATTGGAAACAACTCTAGTTTAGTAAAAACTCGTCAATTTATTCGAGATATTTTTACCCTGATCCCGGGAAACTATTTTTTTCTTGGGAGACGGTTCCGGGACCCCAGATTTTTGACCCGAGAGGCCGGGTTCAAGACCCGAGATGGACCCGGATCCACTCACCCGATATAGACATTTATGTATCGTTTGAAAGCTTTTGAAAATACCTATCTAGCGACTTTTTGGGGGTCCAAAAAATCATTAATTTGACTATAACTTCTGAACCGCTTACAAATTGGATAGGTATTTTCATAAGCAAACGATACCTTTATTGTCTACATCGGGTAAGTGGATCCAACCCGGGTCTGGAACACGGACTTTCGCGTCCCTGGTGTCTTGGGTCCGTCCCCCAAGAAAAAAATTGTTTCCCGGGATCAGGGTAAAAATACCTACCACTGAAAAAAATTCAAGAGTTTTTACTAAACTAGAGTTAAGCTAAGAATTGATATCATAACAACCTCCGATGGCCGTCGTGTAAGAAAACATATAAAAATCTCTGTTGCAATAACAGCAACATTCATTTAAATAATAAAATATAACGGATAACGCAAATCGTTTATTTTATATTGAAGAACTGAAATATAGGTTTTTTTTCACGAAATTAGTTACAAATTCGCTTTGTTTATTTTTTTTTAAACTAAAATGAAGATGCCGTTGTGAAAAAGGGCAGTGACTACCAGTTACTATTCCAAAAAGCTTGCCATATCTTGGAAAAATCATATATTTTAAAGGAAATAATGAGAACCCGATAATGTGGACTTTATCCTTCACTTTTCCTAATGTAAGGGATAACAAAAGTGAACTATAAAGAAAAAAATATAAGAACGGACCTTATGTAATGTTTACGTTAGAACTTTTTGCAGGGTTAACTACTTCAGGAGGATTTATTTTAAGTATGCGTAATGGATATGACTTAATCTATATCCATTGGATAACCCAAATAAACGTACTGTTAACATGTTTTCATATGAGATCTTAAACACCTTGATTCACAAAGTCCTAATAGGAACAACTCGAGTTTAGTAAAAACTCTCGAATTTTTGGAAATTCTTTCCAGAGGTAGGTATTTGTACCCTGATTTCGAAAAAATATTTTTTTTTTCGGGAGACGGACAAGGATACCCCGATATTTGAACCAACAAATCTGGGTCCCAAACCTGTATCTACTTTACTAGTTTCGCAATTTTCTCTGATATCATAAAGGGAAAATTGGTTATGGTAGTAAAAACTTTTAAATTCTTGCAGTTTTGCAACAGACAACCTATTTTGACAAAATTATCGATACTTTGGACCCGGATTTTTTGGGATTCAACGAAATATATGCCATATTATAGTTGACACTTGGCCTGTTCCAGAACCTGCGAGAATCTACTAGTTTTGAATCTTTTTTTCTCGATATAATAAAGGGAAAATCGGTTATCGTATTAAAAACTTTTATATTCTTGCAGTTCTGGAACAGACCATCTATAACCATTCCAAAATGCTGCAATACATGTTATTATATTTCCTGGATCCAGTGATGTGTGTTTTAACGCGGACTATCTTACTTTGTTCCAGAACTGCATGAATGTTAAAGTTTCTACTACAATAACCGATTTCCCCTTTTAGGATATAGAAGAAATTTGCAAAACTTTTAGATTCTTGCAGGTACTGGAATAGAGCCCTGCAAGGACGAGCCTTCACCAAAAAGACAAATATTTGTCTGTATTTTGTAAACACAGGCTAAACGTTGTATTGGTTTGATTTATAATTCCGTTGTTTATGTAAATTATTTATGACGCTGATAAATTTAAGATCTCATATCGCCGTTGGCTGAAATTTTTTCAGGTCGACTATGTAGTTCATGTCATTGTTCATAGCTGAAAAAAGAAAACAAACGAAAAAATACTTAACAAAAATTAACAATTTCTGATGAAAGGTACGACAGTTTAGTGTGAAAATAATACCAAAAGGGTACAAAATTTACTGTGAAAAATCAAAAATTTTTAGTCTACTTAAAAACGATTTAAAAAAGTATGTGTTCTTTTGTATGTGTACATCGACTAAATATGAATTTTTAATTTCTTTTTCAAACAAAAAAAAATCGCGACTCCACGGACGGCCGTAATTAACATTTACGTCTGATTGCAAAATAAAACAACTGCTGTATTTTACTATTTTGGGCACATCGTCGCATACAAACATACGTACTATATTTACGTTGCCTGGCTGGCTGGCCCTGTGTCTGTTTATTGTTTGGTGGGGGTCTGTTCGGAAACAACAATTACTGAAAAATACCAACAAACAAAACAACTTTTTCTGTGACGTATACGTCGAACTGCCAATTTCCCATATATTATTGCGGGTCTGCTGTGACTACTGTCTTGTTGTTGTTCACTATTTTGTGTTGCGTTGTGTGCTGGCTGTTTTGTTTTTGGAACTGCATACACTTGATTTATACCACAACAACAACGACATTTTCTACTCCTTATATTGGACACCATTTTCGAAAAGCAGCTCGAAGAAATTCAGCAACAACAACGAACGAATTTTTATCTTGAACAAAACTGAACGAAGAACAACAAATTTCCATTTTATTCAGTTTTGCACTTGCGAAGAAGAAACGATCCTATTATTACGCTGTACGGAAAACATTTGTGAATACATTTTGGAACAAATTTCTAGTGAGGAAAAAGAACATAGCAGTTGCTTTAAAAGGTCCATTGTGTGCCAGGTGCACACAATTTGCTGCGTAGCCTACACAGTGTGACAAAACTTTTTAGTTTGCCATCCTCCATATCCTGGATATGAATAATCGTAGTTCAGCAGAATGGGGAGAACTACCATCATTGGTATTGGGCCAGATTTACGAATACTTGGAGCCGCGTGATCGACTAAATGCCAGTCAGAGCTGCAAACATTGGCGCAGTGTATTATTCCAAAAGAGGTGAGTGAATAACAAAACCCATTGTTTGCTTGGAAACATTTAATACCATACCGTTATGTCGGTAAGTCTTAAAAATGGAGATCTTATGTATTGTAATATCGGTGCGTTCGTCGTTGGATTATTAATAATATCTACAAAAATAGAGGATATATATTTATGTATTTCGAAAGCAAAACTGAATTGCGGGAATTTTTCATTTAAAGAAAGTGCTTCACTTTTCGTCTGAAATACATTTTTAGAAAAGGAGCCTAATGATGTAGTTTTCTATGCCACTTGATATTTTATTTTTAAATCGAAACATCCTTAAATCGCGCCCCTGTGATGGCTAAGAATAAATTCAATTACAGACTTTTTTGAAAATGTCTTCCCAACTGTTGTTTTGCGTCTTGGGGCAATAATAAAAAGAAAAAATGTAAATTCTGATAAACAAACATTTTTTTCTTCTGGTTTTTCGTTTGGCTCGAGGTCAGAATTTAAAAAAAAAAAACAGACGAATTTGTTTTTTTATATATTAATTTATTTGTCCGATATTTCGACTATCTTCGATAGTCATCATCAGGGATTTGACTTGAAAAAACAATTAACATTTAGTATAAATAAATAAAACAAACATTTTTTTCCTAATGACTGTTATCATGATCAATTCAATTCGAGAAAACCAAACTACCCCAAATAGTTAAATTTTCCAATGGGAAATCTCCTCTGATTTATAGGTGTATTTGGTATTTCTTAATCCCAGAATTCAACGCAAATATGTGTAAGGCCTAAACACTCACAATCGAATTTTAAAAAATCGTAAGATACACTAACCCATTTGGATCTGTCCATGTGTGAATTGCTGAAGTCCCCGGTCAAATTTTGTCTATGAGAGATTTCTTTTATTTATTAGATTATTAGTTTTGGTCAGGGTAATACCAACCAAATATGTGTATGGCATGGGACCATTAAAAAGTTATCCTTACCAACTCTACTTTTAACAATAACCTATTAATCTGGATGCATAGACTTCAGCCAGGTCAAATTCGAATCGCATGATAGCACGAGATTACCTTGGTAAATGCACCATGACCTAAGGGCTGTACTTCTATGGCTTAACGAAGCTGTTCTACCTACTTATTCTGCTGCGGCTTTAGGTTAGGTTAAAGGACGCGCGGTTTTGGTAAACGCTCCACTCGGAGACCTGCTGGTCCATTGTGTTTATCCTACATGTAGAAAGTGGAAAGAAAGAAAGATTGGTGGAAAATGTGCACATATTATTGATAGTAAATACAGTTATAAGGGTAATCCACGGCTAGAAATTTTGCCGTGTCGTCTTTAGCCACTTAAGTCCTCTGTTTAAATGAAGAATTGCTGTAGGGTCAGTGTTAGAGAACGAAGAAAAATCATGTGAAAGTTGTTCCCCCACCAACCTGTGTCTCAAATTAATGAGTGCTGGATGGTGGCAGAGCAAATGTTCGATCGTCTCAAATTCTTCCTTGTCTTGACAGATTCTACAGCAATCAATATCATCGCTGTTCCATTTCGAGGTCATTACCCTCACCTTGCAGTGACCTATGATGATGCCCACAACAAATTTCTAATCAGGTTTCGACAAGGACAGTAGCGAATATGTTCTCTTCTCAGAGAGTATGGGCCTGATTCTTTTGGAGATGCTACATCCCCTTTCATCCAGCCATTTTTGTTTAATTCTCTCAGAGTAATGTATAGGAATTATCTGGAAGAAATGGCACAGGGGTGGTTTGATAGCTGATTCTGACCCTAGCACAGTCAATTCGTCTGCAGTCTCGCTGGTATATTGTCCAACCAACAGAGTTTGATGGACAATCCAGTGTTTTCCAAGGATCTCCTGAATCCCAAAACAGTGTTAGACTTAATGGTAGAGGAGATTAAAGCTTTCAGTGCAGCTTGACTAAGGACGTATATAGTCACCGGACCGTTTCCCTCTTTGTTCCTCGTGACCAATAGGTCTATGGCTTTTTTGACCGCAACGATTTCTGCCTGGAACACATTACAGTCGTTTCTAAGCATGTAGGATTCACGAACATTAAGAGTGTCACAGAAGACCCCAGCTCCCGTTCCGCATTCCATCTTTGAACCGTCAGTAAACAAAGCTATGCCGCGGAAAGGTGGATTGCTACGGACCCAGGCGTCCCTGTCAGGAATGTGTATGTCAGGTGGGTCAAAGCTTAGCCGTGGTGAAATATAATCAGTTGTGTTGGCTTCCCCTCCCACATTCCTTACACGCCCTAAGATCGCAGAACGTCCAAAGGATTGCCTGCGCCATTGGTTTAGTTCCCTGAGTCGAAGAGCACACATAATTGCCTGTTCATCTACGTGAGCTTAAACGCAGTAGGGTGTCCAGCGCAGCCTGAGCTGTGCTCTTGTGGGCACCTGTTATTAGTAGGGATGCGGCTCTTTGAACTTTGTCAATGCAATAGGATGACCTTTTCGAAGAATCCCCCCAGACTAGAGCTCCATATGATAGGATGGGGCGAACAATTGACCCATACACCTATTTAATTATGTGTGGTTCGAGTCCCCATCTTTTACTTATGGAGTTCTTGCAAGAATATAGAGCAATCAAGCCTCTCTTTGCTCGTTCCTCAGTGTTCTTCTTCCAACTTAGTTGGCGGCTTTACCTTCTTACTGTAGCATGGATAACTGTAATTTGTCATTGCACAAAAGTGTAATTCTAGATCTAAAACTTAAAATTAGTCTTGAAAATTCTCAAAAGTGCATTTGTGCAATTTACACCCAATTCCCAATTTAACTAGCAACCACTGCTTATTCTATGCCGGGTGTTAAATGGATATTTTTAAAATTTCCAAGCTGAATGATAGTCCTTAAAATATTTTTACTTTTATACCCACATGCAATGTTGGCCCTTGGGATATGTAAAAGTGTAGTCCTAGACCTGAAACTTAAAATTAGGCTTTAAAATTCTCTAAAGTGCATTAGTTGAAATAAATTAAAATTTCGTTGGGTTTACATCCAATTCTCAATTTATTTAGCAACCACTGTTTATTCTATGCAATCATAGACAAGACAAAGAAATTCACACAAATAAATAAGTGAAAGTCATCGTCATATGTTATATTTGTACAGCATTGATCTTAAAATAACATCAGACTTTAAAAAAATCAATGCATTTAAAACCATATACGTAGATACTCTAAAAATGGCTAAGAATCAACATATTACGCAGAAAAAATTCTATTGATAATTGATAGCTAATTTAAAAATAAATTTTTCTTATAATAAAACTTGTGGACATTTACAATTACAAAAAAATATACTTTTGCTATTCCGCTAGATGCCTATGACCTAATACCAAATACATGAAATAAGTTTTCTGTTATTTCTTTTAAAAATTTCTCTTTCATTCGGCTGACTGGTACATACATACATGTCTACATCATTATGCATGTTTTGTCTACCGTATGTCTTTTAGATTGGGAAAATAAAACAAAGCCAATGTGTTAATTGATTTGAAGGCCAATTTTGTTTTTGGCGTCATTTTCTTTTGTCTAATACATTCGTAATGTTGTAAAATGTTTGGTGCAAAATAGGTACACTGCTTATTCAAGCTTTCAGTGGGCAGAATAAAATCTATAGGACATACACGGGTTTGTACTTTCGCGTGAAACCACACCCCACCCCCTATCCATACGTGACATTCGATTTGAACTATTTTAATTGCTTTAATTATTTTTTTTTTATTATAATTTTAAATAAAACAAGTAAAATAGTATCAGTCGGTTTTGCCGACAGATGTATACCCCCAGGCTTAAGTTATGATTATTCAAACTGTTGACTCTATGGGGGAGAACCTAAAACTGATATAAATATTACAACGTGCCAAATTTGGACTATATCGACCAAGGGGAAATGTGGAAATACGCGTGAGGTAAAGTACTCTATTTTCCTACTTTAATACAAATAAAAATAATGGAAGTGGAAATCGATCATTCATATCCAATTTTATGCGAAATCATAAATTCAGATCTCTGGTTAAGAAAAACATTTAGATATAGCAAGTTGTAAAGAATCGCCGACTTGTTTTGCTATGACAGATATAAGTATTGGAAATTGTGACCCTTTGTGGGTGAGGCACCAGAAGGGGTTGGCATATGTATATCATCTTAACAACAGATCCTGTGTTAGCAAAATGTTTGTATGCGTTGAATTTGAAGAGAGTTTTCAAAATCCTATGTGGGGGAGGTACCAGAAGAAATGGTCTTATCTGTACTATCTTCATAACAGGTCTTGTGTTGATGGAAATATTAAGATGTACCAAGTCTGAATGAAATCGGATGTCATTTTCGCGTCAATTTTTATAAGCTTCATGGTTAATGAAAATTTTAAAATCTTTGTGGGGGAGGTACTTGAAGGAGCGGACCGATATATCCCATCTTCACACCATGCCTGGTTTAGTAAAAATATTGTGATGTGTGTAATTTGAAGAGAACTGGATGCTTATTTCGGATTTTATGATCGTTTTGTTTATTCAAAATGTTGACCCTTTGTGGGGAAAGTACCAGAAGTAATGATCCGATCTCTACCATCTTTATAACAGATCTTGTGCTGATGGAAATATGAAGATGTATTAAGTCTGAATGGAATCGGACGTTATTTCGAAGAAATAACAAAATGTTGTCTCTTTGTGATGGAGGTACCAGGGGAGAGGACCGATATATTCCATCTTCACACGAGACCTCGGAGTAATAAGAATATAGTGATATGTGTAATTTGAAGACACTCTTCACTCTTACATCACATTTTATGAGAGTTATAATTTTTAAAAACTTTGACCCTTTGTGGGGGAGGTACTTGATGGAGTGAACCAATATTGTCCATTTGCAAATATTAGGATTTGCAAAGAACATATTGACATATTGTGGGGTAGGTATCAGAAGGCGTGGACCAATATTGCCCATCTCTAAACTCGATTGACAATAATATTACGATGTAACAAGTTTGGATCAAATCGAGAGTTTTCGTGCGCACCAACCAGCCATAAAGACGGACGTACGGACGGATAAATGTTCTGAAACGGATTTGGACCAAAGAGACCTAGGTTCTAAAACCGTTATTTCGAGGAGGCAGGTTTTGGCCGTATCAAATGATATATACCCTCTGTACGAAAAAAAAAAATATTTAATAATTTTGTTAACTACTCTGTTGCATCATTGAAAATTCGACTATTGAAATTATACATTTCAAAATCAGTTTTCAGCTATAATCGTAATGTAGTCCTCAAAAGTATTGTCAGTTCAAGTAAACGTTCATCAACGATTTGTTTTAAATTTTTAATCGATTATAATGTTATTTTCTATTTGCAAGAGATTTTCGAAATTGGATCCATACTCCCTAGATATCAATAAAATTTGTACATTAAAGAAATTTTAAAAATGTTATTCGATTTGACGAATTTGAAAGATTTAGAATTGATTTAGATTATCCTAGTGAAATTTGCTTTAGTGTCTACTTATTCTTGTCTCTAGAGGCAATGCTTCATAAAACAATAAAGTAACTTTTCTTGACATATTTCTATATACCCTCTACCCCGGGTGAAACTTATATTATCATCTTCTATCATATAAATTAAAAAAAGCATGCAAATAAAATATATCAAATGAAACTTACGAGACAAAAGGACGGCATTTCTATTATGTCGATGGTGACAAAAATATTTTTGTTGGCAAGCAAAAATACATGCAACAAAGTTTGTCATGGTTTTTAAACAAAGAAATTGCTTTTGGGTATTTTTGAATAAATGAATTGAAAGCATTTACATCAACATCATGATTTTATATATTCAGAATAAATTTCGATTTGCCAATTTAAAAAACCCATTTATTGTAGTTTAAATCTTCATTGCACTGCAGTTTTTGTAATTGTACATCTTGCTTAATAATTTGTTTATCTTCTTTTCAGATTCTTCACCAATTTTAAACTCAAACTAAATATTGACAACGATCGTCAGTGTAAATTTTTTCGCCATACTTTATACAATCTGACGAGCGAGCTTATTATTATTTTTGATTTCATCAATGTTTTCCATATTGAAAAGATACGACGCATCTTATACAGGTAAGCGGATAGAATTAAATTCAAATATATTCATAAAAAATAGTAATAACTATCTCTCTCTTTTTTCTTTCCTTCCGATATTTAGAATTGCACGATGTGATAATTTACAAGGTTTACGTTTTCAAACAAATAATGTTGGTTTAACACCACCAGGTGATATCAGTGAAGAAAATCTAGTCGACATAGAACAGTAAGTGTATCAGTGGCACACACTTTTTTGTGTATTCAAATGGTAATTTATTTATTTATTTTTTGCCTCATATAGACTCTTTGTTGAACCATTGAAAGTATTTTTAAATCGCAAGCGAACACCTTGCAATATTTTGGATTTAGGTGCAATTGAAGCTTTAACATACTATGGTTTGGACTTTTTGAAATCTCTGAGCCGGCCTCAAGATCTAAAAGAGCTGACCTTGGCCTCCATAAAATACGATCCTAGTCATTATCCCATGTTCGCCATGGAGAATAAGTTGATACAAAAGTGTACATCATTGCAAGTGCTTTCACTGGATTATGACACCCTTAACGAAGAACTACTGCATGCATTAAAGATTTTACCACTCAAAAAATTTTTAATTTGTGTACATGGTTTGGATCGTCATCATCCGGGTATATCTGAACGAACTTGGGCTGAATTCTCGGCAAATTTCAATAATATTGAATTAATTGTATCACTTATTTATGCCTATGAAGCCGTTGAAGTTCTACAGATGCGTATTTTGCGTCAAAATATGCCCATAACTCATTTGAGAGTATTGTTTTGTGATTATGTAAGTATGTTGTTGGAGGAAGCCATTTTGTTGAATATAACAATATACATTTATGTGTATATCGTCACCAACAGATGAATGTTGAAGCATTGGAATGGATTTCATTAAACAATAGTGCCACTTTAAAGAGTATACAATGGATTGATTCCGTAAGTTTTCACTTGCATTTTTTGTTTTATTGTATAAAAACATTTTCTATTTCTATTTTATGTGTTGTTTGTTTACAGGCCTACAAACATTCCGATAATAATATAATGGACTTATTTTTACGCACTGGTCAGGATCCACTTGTCATGATGTCATGGCGCTGCAAAAATCTGGAGGAAATTGTTATCCATGGCTATATTTTGGATCCACACAACATTGTGGGCATTTCTCGTTTACGCGGTCGTACCTTGAAACGTCTGGAGGTATCAATGATTGATACCGCACCGAATGAGGCCAGTATGGATTCATTTATTGAGGTATGTTTTTTGAAATTTGTTGCACTTCCAATAGGTATTGCTCTTAATTTCGAGATATTTTTTGGGATATTTAGTTTTTAATTTAATTTAAACGTTAAACACTCTATGTTACGGATATTGCCATGTGAACGAATAAATTATATTCCCAGATATTAGAAGATTTTCGTTGTTAATCAACACAGAATAAATAAACTGGTAAATTTTCCAGGTTACTTGAGGCAAATTGCTTAGAAGTAAAAAGCTGTAAGTTCGGCCCGGCCGAATACCCTCCAGCATTTGGAACGAACTTGAGGGCTATACGAAGAAGCGGACCTGCACAGACAATTTTCTGTCATAGGTGGTAATATCCATTACGAACTTCAAATACCAAATTTGAAACAATTCCGGTGAATAATGTCGCTAAAATCATCAAAATACCGAATATCGGGAGTTACAATTATATGGGTGTTATACGAAAACGTTGACCTGCAGAGACAATTTTTTGTCATAGGCTTTAGTATCCATTACGAATTTCAAATACCAAATTTGAAACAAACAAAATTATCAAAATACCGAATAACGGGAGGTGCCGTTGTATGGGGGCTATACGAAGATTTGGACCTGCACGGACAATTTTCTGTCTTAGGCTGTAGTATTCGTTACGAATTTCAGATACCAAATTGAAACATTTCTGGTGAATAATGTCGCTTAAATAAACCGAAAATAGGGAGGTACCATTATATGTGGACTGTACCAAAACGTGGACCTACATGGCCCATTTTAAATACCAAAAGTCCAGTAGAGATAATATACATTTGAGAAAATTTTGATCAATCTACTTCATTTCGTTCGGAAGCTAGAGTGATTTCCACCAACGGACATGACCACCAACTAAATCCACACAGAATTTTATGCTGATCAAAATGGGGTCTAAAATGTATATTTCAAGGAGTTACAAACGGATTGACAAACTTAATATACCCTCCATACTATGGTGGATGGTAGAAAAACATAGTGCCGTATGGAATCTTATTAATTATTTTCAATTACATTGTTTTTCAGGAAATCAATACATTATTAGGCCAAAAATGGGAGCCTCTTAATCTCAACAATACGCATCCAGCCCTTGGTTATATGCCAGTAGCTGATGATGTGCGTGATGAATATGTCTTCGATCTCATACGACGTGATATTTCTAATTAGAAACGAAAAATAATATAAACTAATCTAAACTAAATCATTGACTTGATTTAAAAAATGGCAACTTAAAAAGCAACAACACAAAATGGAAATTCAACACAAATAAAATCATTAGTTATTTAATATAGAAAAGCAAAAGAAACAGCAACACGTTTAACAACATTTAATGTTAAGCAAAAATCCCATCAGCCGCATGAAAATAACAACGTCAGCAAAAAATATCCCCAATAATTTCAATTGCGAAATAAGCCAAGTCATGCAAACTTAAAACGACGTGAAAACTCCAACAGATGAAAGAATAACTACCAACATCATCATCAGCCTGCCTGCCTATCCAGCACAGCAGGTTTTGTAAGAGAGTAACAAATGGGTAAATACATAAATATGTTAAGAAAAATTGCATGACAGTGATATACAAAACTTGAAAAAATAATTTTCTTTAAAGAAATTATGTTTTTATTATGATTTTTTTTTTATACATATACATGTTTTTTGTAGCTATACACTTATATATTTTTAAATCTCACAAACAAAAGAAAAATTATATAATTTCAACTTATTTAAAAAAATCGAAGTTTGTTTAAATCTTTTTTCAAAAATTTTTCCAATTGAAAAAGTAAACAAGAAACAAACTTTGGCACTACATGAAATTGAATTTTTCCAAATTTTGTGCAAGGAAAAAATTCCTTTTCGTAGTTTAATAGAAATAATATTAAAAGAACATACAAGTTAATGCACAAAGATCCGGAATATTAATTCGAATGTTAAAAAGAAAATTAGAAATCATAATAGATTGGCTAATACGTTTTGTATTATTTTTATTATAATTTAGAACAAGAATTGTGTTAGGAATTAATATTTACACTTTATGTAATCGTTTTGAATCACCTGCCTTTTTTGTAGAAGGAAAGAAACATTTTCAGATCCTAGGATAGACGACATCAATTTAGTTCGAAACTCAATTATTCCAGTTTTTAGAACTTCGTTATTGCTTTCTGAAACTTATAAAACTAAGAATGTCTAAAGGCGAATAGCAACATTAAGGAAAATGATTTTTTTTAATGCATCAATTCGGGATTATGGAAAAAAATATCAGTGTTTTCTAATTACGAAAGAAAATTATATTTACTTTGAAGATCCAACTTAGCTCGAGTATACTGTGGCATTTTGAATTCACCGAAATCTGTTAGCAAATTATAAATAGTTGAAATTGATCAACATCAACATCATGTTTTTTGGAACATTTGGATATGAATAATTCGTTCCTGGAGCAATGCATATGTTTGAAATTAAGTCTCTAGCAAATATTTGCAGCAGACAACTTTTAAATTTATTTTCTCCATTTTTGGATCTTCAAGAATAAGTCTATTTGTAGCTTCAGATTCGTATTAGTTCCAATTAAGCTTTTGAAATTTTGTTTGAGCTCCAAAACTCTTAACACCAAAAGTTTCGTGGTTTCGTATAAACTTCATGTAGTTATTATGTCTTTGTGCATTTGTTTGTAACATGGAGATGGAAGCGAGCTGACCCATAGTTACTTTTGAGGATCTTCAAAGAATCACTTTCTGAGTCGATTTATGCCTGTCAGTCCGGCTGTCCGTCCGTCCATTTATTCTTGTGAAGAAAATGCAGGTAGCATTTATTATCCGATTGAGATGAAATTTTGCAAACAGTATTTGGTTGGCCCAGGGTCAAACCCTATTAAAATTGGTGATAATCGGATCAGATTTAGATATAGCTCCCATATATCTTCAACCTATTTCGAGTTAACTGTGCACCAAATGACCAATATAAATCCAAATGACCTGAATTTTGTTACATCCTACCGAATTCAATCTAGAAGTGAATACATCAAATTGGTTCATCAGATTTGGATGGAACGTGCGTAAAATGCACTCCACAAGAATGATATTTGGTACCGGATATCCCGAAAATACCTCTGTCAAATTTTATGGAGATCGGTTAAGATTAGGATTTAGCTCCCATATATATCTTTACCCGATATCAGGATTATTGTGCACCAAATGGACTGAATTTTTGGCAATTACGACTGAATTCATCCTAGAAATCAGTTTTTCAAATTTGGTGTAAATCGGTTCAGATATAGCTAAGCTTCCATATTTATGTTTTATCCGATTTCGGGTTTAAAAACCTTCACAAGCGCAATATGCATTCGAAAATAAAGATCTTTGGTACCAGATATTAAAAACAGCTCTGAAGTAAATACCTCTGTCGAATTTTATCAAGATCGGTTCAGATTTGAACATAGCTCCGATTTCGTTTCGATTTCGTGTTAATCATGCACCAAATAGCCAATATCAGTCCAAAGGTCCTGAATTTTTGTGCCTTCGACCGAATTCAGTCTAGAAGCATATTCGCAATATGCATTCGACAACAATGATATTTGGTACCAGATATCTTAAAGAGCTCGGAAATACCTTTGCCAAATTTTATCGAGAACGGCAAAAATTTGGATATAGCTTCCATATATATCCTAAATCCTATCCTAATAATGGCTAATATCAGCCCAAATACTGTGAATTTCGGGACGAACATTTCCATTTTGTGGAACACGGCTTCGATATATTTTTTTTTAATATAATTCTTCTCAAAGTGATATCCTGCACTCTATAGCAATGTTATTTAGTATAATAAAAGATTAAAATGTCTCCGTCATATTTATTGAAAATCGATTCAGATTTAGGGTCTTCTGAAACCTAATTGTAACTGCTCTAGAGCCAAATGTTGATAGGTGGTATGATCTATTTCAAATAAGTTATTTTGTCACGGGAGCTCTACTAAATATGCATAATGGTGTAGGGTATCATGTACTCGGCCCCGCCCGTCTTTTGACTTTTTTTAGTTTGCTATTTTTGGAATACAATAGAAAAGGGGTCCATTTATTTATTTTCTTGTTTTAAATTAACGTAATAAAAATAATACAAAACATTTCCAATACAATCCAATACACAAGAAAAATATTTTTAAATATATGTTTTATTCTTTTAAATTTTGTGATTTTACTATGTGTTATGTATTAAGAAATGGGAATACAACATATATTACACAGACACACATTAATATACATATATCTGATATATACATACTCTTTTTAGCTATAATATTAACTTAGATTATAGAAATGTAACATGAATATCCATAGACAGAAATGTCCCTTTCCCCTCAAAATCCAACACAAAAGAACAAAATGTTGTTTTATATTAAAAAGAAAAACAAAAACAACAAGAAACAAACATCTAACAACATTTGCAAAACAAAACCAACAAAAAATGAAAAGAACATTAAAATGTATTTAAAACTGAAAAGACTTAAGCACTTCACAAATTGTGGCGTACAACGACGAAATTGTGAAACCTGCTATAAAAACAACAACAACAAACAAACAAACAAATGCAACAAAAACACTAATTTGTATTAATACAGACAACAAGAAAACATCAAACTGTGATTAAAAATGAAAGCCATCTTAAATAGAGAATACAAAAAAACTAATTAGCAAACAAAACAAACTACAACAGTAAATGCAGAGCGACAGTAGCGAGAGCTATGTTAAAATCTAAAGCAATTAACAATTATTTTAGGGAAATGATAACACCTTGTTAGTAGTAATGAAGAAAGTAAATAAGGAAGAAGATGAAAATCAAAAAATATAAAATCCTTGAAATCTACTAAGGCTCTAAAAATGCCTGCAAACTCTCTTTGCTTTCCTCTGTACACTTTTTTAATTTTTCTTTAGATTTTATGTTTATATTTTTTTTATTATAGAAAATCTTTGTTAGACCAAGGAACATTTATACAATCCATAACTGTTTTAGGATATGTCAAATATATTTTTAGTATTGAATATTGAAAAATCATTAATACCATAAACATGCCCACATAACAAAGCAGTTCCATTAGAAAACCAATCCAAAAAAGAAAAAGCTATACATTAAATAAATTTCTTTTTATTAAGACAAACAAAAACAAACAATAAGCTCAAAAAAGAATATCCCTGTTATGTTAAACAAAAAAAGAAAGAAAAAAAAAAAACAAAATTGTGATTTATACAGGCATTATTTAAATTATTACTTAAAAACAAAAAACATATGCACATACATCTTTGTTGTAATTTTATAACAACTAAACCATAACATTATGATTACCAAAAACCAGTGGTCATGTATAGAAGACTCAAAAATACAAGCAACCATCATGTGTGGGACAACAAGAAATTTGACCAAAATTAAAAAAAAAAACAATTTTTTTTTATTATTTTTACAAGTCATTTAAACAAATACAAGTATGTAATGTATTGAACGTATGTGTGTGTATGTTATTGTGATATTTATGAAAACAACAATCCCCATTTAAGAATGTAAAAAAAACTGCAAGCAAAATAATGGTAATTGCAAAAAATACAATTATGTAGCAAAAGGAAATGTATTCGCTAAGAATATAATTTAATGATTGAGATGCATACGGTAATGTGATGAATAATATTTGACTTGATTCGCAGTAAATCGAAATCATATCGCTCATTTACTCAAAAATGATTTTTTGAGTTAGAAAATGCTATTCCTTCTTCGATTGAACATTTATGTTTATATCTGTAGAACTCAAGCTGTTACAGCTATTTTTACTTGGATTTAACTTAACTACTTCGAACTATGTACAGGAATTTAGCACTGATATGCTCTTTGCAAATAATTGCCAAAGACCAAATGGTAAAGACTCCAAAAAAATACATTTTGAAGAAAATAGTTGATTGGAAAACTATGTATAGACACAGCCAACGGAGGCATGTTAATATTAAAAAAACACAATTATAGAGCAGCATAACTAATACAATTTCTACTTAGTCAGCTGGACGCGATTCTTGTTCTATGAAAATTTGAAATGAAAACTTTTATAAAGCGAAGAAATGTCAAATGAAAAATTCTATAAAGGTTATATTTATACCCTACACCACATAGTGGTAAGGGTATTATGACTCTGTCCATTTTTTGTAACATGGAGAAGGAAGCGAGATCGATCCATAGTTACTTTTGAAGGTCTTAATAGAATTACTTTCTGAGTCGACACATGCATGTCAGTGCGCCCATGTATCATATTTATTATCCGCTTGAGATCAAATTTTCCAAACAATATTTGTTTGGCCCAAGGACGGTTGAGATTAGCGAGAATCGGTTCAAATCAAGATATAGCTCCATTATATATCTTCCACCGATTTCGGTTTTATTGTGCATCAAATGGCCAATATCAGTCCAAATGACCTGAATTTTGGCACATACATCCCAATTCAGTCTAGAAGCAAGTTCATCAAATTTGGAGAAAATAGGTTCAGATATAGCTTTGGTCCCCGTATATATATGTTTCATCCGATTTGACGTTCAAGCCATTCATATGCGTAATATGCACTCCACAAGGATAATATTTGGTGGCAGATATCAGATACCGCCCAAAGAATATCCCTGTCATATTTTATCGAGATGGGATCCAATTGGGATTTAGCGCCTATATAAATATACCTTTATCGAAATTCAAGTTTATTGTCCACCAAATGGCTAATATCAGCCAAAATACAGTGAATTGTGGCGCATACGACCGAATTCAGCCTAGAAGCAAATACTTAAAATATTGGTGAAAATTGGTTCAGATATAGCTATAGCTCCCATATATATGTTTTATTCCCACATGCATAATTTGCACGCCACAGGACCAGATCTTGTTATAAGTAAATTTTAGGATTGGTCAAATTAACGTGGCCAAGCCTGCAGCAGTGCCTTTCTACATCTTAGAGCCGCTTTTCAGACTGTCAAGACCAGGTGATGTATTATCGCATCTTTGGTGTCTAATTCTGAGACTTTTCCCAACCAGTCTTGTCACATTTTGCTTAAATTGGAACCGAATGGAATCTTATTAGCAATGATCCGCCAACTGGAAAATAAAAAAATAATATTAACACTTTTGATTCTGTTATAAAAGTAATGACGGCAACGAAAACTGAGTTCGATATCGCCCTCTTTAAACCATATATAATTTACACCAATAGCCCGACTATTACATCATTAAATTTATTGAAGACTTTCCTTCCTTGCTTTCGGGCTAATCTCTAAAGCATTTCATATGTATAAACTCTAGTGAAGTATTGAATATGGCAACATTTCTTTTTTCATTTCCAAGTGTTATTCTACGTGCAATAAACGTTAATCCAAAAAAATAACGCAGCATAAAATCGAATACATAAAAAATCAACATTCCTTTTGCTACATAAACTACAAAAGAACATAAAATACGATCTCAATAAGATATATAAAACAATAACAACCTCAACGTTATTTGTTGTACGATGACATAGGGAATCTTATATGTATATTTTTTATTAATAACATCAGCAGCAAATTAATAAAATCAATTGCCGCAAATGAAATTTGAACAACAACAACAACAACAAATATTGTACCTGAACAACTTAAAGTATTTCTTAGTAAAACGAACAACAAGACCAACAATTAAAGTACAACCTAAGAAACATCCCGTTTTTAAATTTGAAATGTAAAAAGAAAACACCATAATCTAGTTGTACTCTAAGTGTTTAATAAAAAAAATAAGATTTCTAAAATCTGGAAATGGAAAGCGAACAACATAGGGAACCAAATATATGTAAACAAAACATCAACAACAAATGAATTGAAATAACATTCATAAAAAATAATGAATGAAGTAACAACAACAACAAGAGCATAATGCAAATGCCATATAAGACTGAAAGTGCACAACACCCACAAATAAAAAACAAAACATAACAACAACATTAAAAGAGTACCAAATGCCACTTAAAGTAGGAAATGGAAACGAATTAAGGAATTTACACAAATAACGTTGCAAAAGACCAAAGGGAACACAACAAAAGCAGCAGCAACAACAGCAAATGTAATGTGTGCAATATTATAGGGGATAACAATTGAGAACACGGTAGAGTGGATGAAAAGCAAATCCAAAATGAATACAACAACCAACCAAAGCCTTAATCATACACGGTTATTTAAAAAAAAAATTATATTTTCTACTACTACCTAACTTCCACAAGAATATGAAAGAATGCTGCACATTAAAAAAACTAATTTAATTAAAATACATTATTTGAATTTAGGTTAACGTATGCATACCAATATATAATATAAATAATTTATTTATTTTTTTAAAATGGAATTGCAAAGATCGGACCTATAGATACCATTGTTATTAGAAATAAAACGAGATATATTCAATATTCAAGAGTCGCATGTTTGACAGTAGAGGCTTTTTTGAAACAGCTGACATATTAAAAGCTTATTCACCCGCTAAACATTTGATGGGAATTATGGCTGAATTAAAAATTATACTATTTTAAATAGTTTGTGTTTATGCATTTACATAAACATGACATCTAAAGCTTTAGACAATTTCGATTCAACATATTAATTTTATTTCCATTACAGACCAGCATTTTAAAAAATCTTTTCAATATCTAACAAAAAAAATCTATTTAAGATTAATATAATTAAGAAAATTAAGGAAATGTCGACCTGCACATTGATATGTTGCTGCATTTTCATTAACCTTATAATAGCTACCTTATGATGACCTGGTTATGACCTGGTATGTATTCAAATGATCATGGACTATTAGTCCGCATGTATTGAGCGATAATTTCTTAAGTGTCTTCGTTACTGGTGACTAAAGTGAAATTTGTATGTCATCCTCTTCTGCCTTCAGGTTCGCACTGCCCAGCCAATTTGTGAAACTCTTTCTAATCTTGGTCAAATAAAGTTGAGAAGAGAAGATTTGAGATAAAGGAGCTAATTCATTAGCCATTTCATTCACCATTACATTACTATGGCACGGAACCCAACAAAGCTAAATAAAGGTCTATTTTTCTCGTCTGTCTGTCTCGCTGGCTGGTGCGCACGAAGGGAGTATCCGATTTGATCCAAACTTGGTACATCGTAATATTATTGTCAAACTTAGATCGAGTTCGAAGATGGCCAATATCGGTCCATTCCTTCTGGTACCTCCCACACAAAATGTAAAAATTGCCAAAGAAAATAATTTTCTGCACAGAAAGAGAAAGGATAATCCGATTTTGCTCCAACTTTGCATAACCTAATATTTGCATCAGTGCTAGGTCAGGTACGAAAATGGACAATATCGGTCCACACCTTCTGGTACCTCCCCCTCAAAGGGTAAATATTTTGAGTATCCACGAATCTCATAAAACACGAAATTAACATCCGATTCCACTCAGACTTGGCACATCTCAATATTTCCATCAACGCAAGATATGTTATAAAAGTTGTGTTCCAGTACTTTTTTAGTAGTAAAACTAGCAGAAGAGAAAACAGTTCGAAATGTCATTCTCATTTAGGTTTGCTCAAAAAATAAGGGAACGGAAAATTAGCAGAAATGCGATAAAATGTCAAAATTCAAAATTCCAAAAGTAAACAGCCTAAATCGGACTGGTGAAACCTTATTGAAAAGAGCGCCAACATTTAAAAAATGAGTATTGAAGACGATAAGTTAAAATTAATAATTTATAATAATAATTAATAATCTGATTCCTCATTCAGCCAGTCCTCTTCACTGCTGGAATCATCCAAAAGTGAATACATCAGTTGCTCCATATTTTCTCTTTTTGTTTTTTGCACGACAAATATTAGTTTTTCCTTTAGTTTTCAAGTTGATCATTTTCTTTATTGAAATGTATCAATACATTTTTCAACCTTGTTAGCCCTGCCAATTAAATGTCAAATTTACAATATGTACATTTCTGCTCGGCCAAATTCATGTAGCTAAAACAAGCAGAAATGTGCACCACTCAGCGCCATTTTTTTCTCGAGAGAGCTGCAAGTTTTGCTAGTTTTTGGAGTACGGGAACGCGTTGTAGCAGAATTAGTGCTAATTAGTACTAATTTGCAGGTTCTGGAACACAACTAAAGATAGTAGAGATCGGACCACTCCTTCTGGTACCTCTCCCGCAAAGGGTTAACATTTCGAATAACCAAAACGATCATAAAATCCGAAATAGGCATTCGATTCTCTTCAATTTACACAAATCACAATATTTGTTTTAACCCAAGATCTGGTGTGAAGATGGAATACATCGGTTCACTCCTTCTGTTCAGACGGTCAAAATTTTGAATATTAATGAAGCTCATAAAAAACGGAATAATCATCCGATCCTATTCAGATTTAGCACATCTCAATATTTCCATCAACA